CCATTAAAATGCCATTAAAATGCCATTAAAATGCCATTAAAATGCCATTAAAATGCCATTAAAATGCCATTAATATGCCATTAATATGCCATTAAAATGCCATTAAAATGCCATTAAAATGCCATTAAAATGCCATTAAAATGCCATTAATATGCCATTAAAATGCCATTAAAATGCCATTAAAATGCCATTAAAATGCCATTAAAATGCCATTAAAATGCCATTAAAATGCCATTAATATGCCATTAAAATGCCATTAATATGCCATTAATATGCCATTAAAATGCCATTAAAATGCCATTAAAATGCCATTAAAATGCCATTAAAATGCCATTAATATGCCATTAAAATGCCATTAATATGCCATTAATATGCCATTAATATGCCATTAATATGCCATTAAAATGCCATTAAAATGCCATTAAAATGCCATTAAAATGCCATTAAAATGCCATTAAAATGCCATTAATATGCCATTAAAATGCCATTAATATGCCATTGATATGCCATTAATATGCCATTAAAATGCCATTAAAATGCCATTAAAATGCCATTAAAATGCCATTAAAATGCCATTAAAATGCCATTAAAATGCCATTAATATGCCATTAAAATGCCATTAATATGCCATTAAAATGCCATTAAAATGCCATTAAAATGCCATTAAAATGCCATTAATATGCCATTAAAATGCCATTAATATGCCATTAATATGCCATTAATATGCCATTAATGTGTCATTAAAATGCCATTAAAATGCCATTAAAATGCCATTAAAATGCCATTAATATGCCATTAATGTGTCATTAAAATGCCATTAATATGCCATTAAAATGCCATTAATATGCCATTAAAATGCCATTAAAATGCCATAATAAAGTGCCACAAAAATGCCATAAAAAGTTATTAAAATGCCATAAAAATGCCATAAAATGCCAAAAAAATGCCACAAAAATGCCATTAAAAATGCCACAAAAACGCCATAAAAATGCCATTAAAAATGCCATAAAAACCCCATTAAAACCCCATAAAAGCGCCCTTAAAATGCCCTTAAAATGCCATTAAAACCCCACTAAAACCCCCTAAAAAGCCCTAAAAAGCCCTAAAAACGCCGTTACAAAACCCCATTAAACCCCCCAAAAACCCCATTACAAAACCCCCTTAAAACCCCACTAAACCCCCTCAAACCCCCCCTCAAACCCCTCGAAAAGCCTCCGAAAAAACCCACCATTGGCCTGCCTGACGAGCTCTTCCGTGAAGTGCGCAGCGGCGAAGCCTGGGGCCCCTGGCCGTGCTGCTGCAGCGCCTGGACGAGGCCCTGGGCGAGCTCGACTGCAGCAAGAGCCGGGAAGAGCCAGCCGTTGCTGGCAGTGACATCCACCAGCGCATGCAGCAGCCGCAGCGCGGGCAGCAGCAGCTGCTGCTGCTCTGCAGCAAGGTCGCTGGGCAGGCTCCACCGCTGGCAGTGCGCCTGCAGCAGCAGCAGCAGCAGCGGAGATGCTGCGGCGATGCAGCAGCAGCAGCAGCAGCGGCGGTGATGCAGCAGCAGCAGCAGCAGCAGCAGGAACGCCCGCAGCAGCAGCAGCACAAGCAAGAACCCCCCTGCAGCAGCAGCAGCACCGCCGAAAACCCCAGCAGCAGCAGCAGCAGCGAGACCCCCCGCAGCCGCAGCAGCAGCAGCAGCAGCAGCAGCAGCAGCAGCAGACGTGGAGGAGAATCAGAGTCTTGGTGCTGGTTTTGGCGAAGTCCGCGCTCGGCGGCACTTTGAGACTCAGCCGCTGCGCCAAAGTCCGCAGCAGCGAATCTTCGCCGGGCCGAAGCGGCAAAAACGAAAACTCCGCAGCGGCGGAGAGAATTTCCAAGAGAGCTCTTCGCTTCGAAGTGGGGGAAAGCGAGCGATTAAAGAGCTCTGAAAAGGAAATAAATGATCAAAATAATTAAAATAATTAAAATAATTAAAATAAATTATAATAATTCATAATAATTGAATATTAATTGATAATTTGAGAGTTTAAAGGAGTGATCGGGTGCAGCGGAGAGAATTTCTAAGAGAGCTCTCCGCTTCGAAGTGGGAGAAAGCGAGCGATTGAAGAGCTCCGAAACGGAAATAAATGAATGATTAAATGATAAAAATGATTAAAATAATTAAAATAATTAAAATAAATTATAATAATTAAATATAATTAAATATAATTAAATATAATTGATCGTTGGAGAGTTTGAAGGAGTGATTGGGTGGGGGTTGGAGGGGGGGGGTGGAAGAGGTGGAGGAGTGGAAGGATTCGAAGAATGAAAGAAATGAAGAATTTAAAAGATTTAAAGAATTAAAGAATTAAAGAATTAAAAGATTAAAAGGATTTAAATAATTAAAAGGATTAAAAGGATTTAAAGAAATGAAAGAAATGAAGAACTTAAAGGATTCAAAGAATGGAAGAAATGAAGAATTAAAAGGATTTATTAAGAATCGAAGAAATGAAGAATTCAGGGATTCGAAGAATCGAAAAAATGAAGAATTCAAAGAATTCAAAAAATCGAAAAAACGAAGAATTCGGAGGATTTAAAGGATTTTAAAAATTAAAAGGATTTAAAGAATTAAAAGGATTAAAAGGATTAAAAGGATTAAAAGGATTAAAAGGATTAAAAGAATTCAAAAGATTAAAGAAATGAAGAACTGAAAGTATTCAAAGAATGAAAGAAATGGAGAATTGAAAGGATTCAAAGAATCGAAAAAATGAAGGATTCAGAGGATTCAAAAGATTCAAAGGATTAAAAGAATTAAAAAAATTAAAAAAATTAAAAGAATTGAAAGAATTAAAAGAATTAAAAGAATTAAAACAATTAGAAGAATTAAAAGATAAAAGAGATCGAAAAGATCAAACATTTCAAAAAACTCCAATTTTCGAAAAAGTTCAAAAAGTTCAAATGAGACGCCACGCGCTGCTGCTGGAGAGAAAGAAAGAAGAAAAAATAATTCTGCATTTCAAAAAAATGAAAAGATAAAATAAAAAGATAAAAAAATAAAAAGATAAAAAAATAAAAAGACAAAAAAATAAAAAGGTAGGTAGAAAAATAAAAAGATCAAAAAGAATAAAAAGATCAAAAAGAATAAAAAGATCAAAAGGAATAAAAAGATTAAAAAGAATGAAAAGATCCAATAATTCAAAAAGATCCAAAAATTCAAAAAGATCCAATAATTCCAAAAGATCAAATAATTGAAAAACATTAAAAAGATCAAAAAGATTTAAAAGATCAAAAAGATCAAAAAGATTAAAAAGATCAAAAAGATTAAAAAGATCAAAAAGATTAAAAAGATCAAACAATTAAAAAGATTAAAAGGATTAAAAAGATCTAATAATTCAAAAAGATTAAAAAGATGAAAAAAGATCAAAAGATCAAAAACATTAAAAAGATCAAAAAGATCAAACAATTCAAAAAGATAAGAAAACAAAAAGGACCAAACAATTCAAAAAACTTTAAATATCTGTAAACCCAAAAAAGTAAAAAACATAAAAACGTGAAAAGATCAAAAATTCAAAAATTCAAAAATTCAAAAATTCAAAAAATAAAAATAAAAAAATAAAAAAAGATATTTTAAAGAATGCCGGAAAGCTGAATTGAAGTGAAGGAGAAACTGCTGAGAAGTTGAAGAATTAAATTAAGAAATAAATAAAAGAAAATAAATCCGAAAATGAAATAATTAAATAAATTAAATTTAGAAATAAATAAAAGGAAATTAATTGGAAAATGAAATAATAAATAAAATTAAGAAATAAATGAAAGGAAATAAACTGGAAAATGAAATAATAAAATAAATTAAGTAAATTAAATTGAGAAATTAATAAGAGGAAATAAACCGGAAAATGAAATGAAATAAATGAATAAAATAAAATAAACTGAATTAAGGAATAAATGAAAAGAAACAAATCAGAAAATGAAATGAAGTGAAATAAATGAAATGAAATAAATGAAATGAAATAAGTGAAATGAAATAAAATAAATAGAATAAAAATTAAATTAAGAAATAAATAAAAAGAAAAAAATCAGAAAATGAAATGAACAAGAAAATAAAAAAAGATAAGCAAATAAAGAAGATAAATAAAGAACATAATAAACAAATAAAGAACATAAATAAACAACAAAAGAAGATAATAAATAAATAAAAAACATAATAAACAAATAAACAACATAAATAAACAAATAAAGAATATAAACAAACAAATAAAGAACATAAATAAACAACAAAAGAAGATAATAAATAAATAAATAACATAATAAACAAATAAAGAACATAAATAAACAGATAAAGAATATAAATAAACAACTAAAGAACATAAATAAACAACTAAAGAAGATAATAAACAAATAAAGAAGATAAATAAACAAATAAATAAACAAATAAACAACTAAAGAAAATCATAAACAAATAAAGAACATAAATAAACGAATAAAGAACATAAATAAACGAATAAAGAAGATAAATAAACCAAAAAAGACAAATAAACAAATAAAACAAATAAAACAAATAAAACAAATAAATAAACAAATAAAGAACAAATAAAAGAAATGAAACAAATAAAACAAATAAATCTGACCAATAGTGGCCACTTTGAATTAGTAAAATGCACAGATGAGCCCAAAACAAGTAGAATACAAACAAATAAAGGCGATAAATAAACAACTAAAGAAGATAAATAAACCAAAAAAAGACAAATAAACAAAGACAAATAAACAAATAAATTAAATAAATAAAATAAATAAACAAATAAATAAAATAAATAAACAAATAAAACAATAATAAAGAACAAATCCTGGCCAACAGTAGCCACTTTGACGTAACAAAAAGCGGAGATAAGCCCCAAGTTGAGGGGCTCGAGGTCGAAGATAAATAAACAACCAAAGAACATAAATAAACCAAAAAAACGGCAAATAAACCAAAAAAAAAAAGACAAATAAAGAAATAGAAGCTAAATAAACAAATAAATGACATAAATAAACAAATAAAACAAATAAAACTGACCAATAGTGGCCACTTTGACGTAGTAAAAGGCAGAAATGAGCCCCAAGTTGAGGGGCTCGAGGTCGACTTGAAAAAGAACATAAATAAACAACCAAAGAACATAAATACACCAAAAAAACGACAAATAAAGAAACAAAACAAATAAATGACATAAATAAAGAAATAAAACAAATAAAACAAACAAAACTGACCAATAGTGGCCACTTTGACGTAGTAAAAGGCAGAGATAAGCCCCAAGTTGAGGGGCTCGAGGTCGACTTCGTTTTTCTCGGCGAGGCACTGCGCCTGCTCGAGGGCGTGGACGGCGGACTCGACGAGTTCGGAGAGAAAGTCGCTGAGGTGTTGGTGGGAGGCGGCCTGGAGTCCGTAGTAGTTGGGGTTCTGCAGAGAAGAAATTGCAAAACAAACTCGAAAATGAACAATAAAAAGGAAATAAAACGAGAAATTCGGAGAAGGAATTAATTGCAAAACAAACTTCAAATAAATACAAGAAAATTAAACAAGATATTCGGAAACTGGAAAGAAACGCGGCAGAAAGAAGCCCAGGAACTCGCGAGCTGCAGCGGCTGCGCGCCGCCTCAGTTTCCAGTTTGGAAAGCTCTGGACTCCGTTTTTAATTCAAAAACCTCTTCTTATTCTCGCATTTGTTGTATTATTCGAAAATATTTTATATTATTCGGTAATCTTTTATATTATTCGAGAATATTTTAAATATTCGCGCATTCGTTGCCTCTGCGGCTCGCGCCACTTCTGAATCGGCGCGCCCGCGAGGTGTCTGTACACCCCAGCCTGCGCGGCGCTCCGCCTTCGAAAAGTGGAAAGCGCGCTTAAATTCGGCGGAAACCCTCCCCAAACCCTCCCCAAACTCTGCTAAACCCTTTCTAAACTCTTTCTAAACTATTTCTGAACTCTTTCTGCACTCTGGGTTCTGTAATTCGGAAAGAAAGCGCGGGAAAGCTGGGGAAAGCGCTGCCTCGGGCGGCCTGCCTTGGACAGTCTTCTGTAGAGAAAAGACCAGGTAAGCCAGTCAACTGCGTCTTGTTTGCTTTCAACTGTTTTCAAAACCACTTCTGCGTTCAAGTGGTCCTGCAAGTGCTGCTCCAGCTGCGACTCCACCGGCAAAGGCTCGAAAATGAACTTCTTGTAAAACTCCCGCTTGCTCGACGGACACAACAACACCACAAACCCGTGCCGGTCCACCCCCGGCCGCGTCGCCCGGCCCAGCATTTGCAACACGTCCGCGATCGGGTAGTCTTCGTATCTGAACAAAGTCATTTGGAGAAGTTTGAAAGAAATAAAAAGGCATTTAGTTGAAATAAAACGGCATTTAATTGAAATAAAGCGGCATTTAATTGAAATAAAGCAACATTTAGTCGAAATAAAGCGCATTTAATTGAAATGAAGCAGTGTTTAGGGGATATAATGCAGTGTTTAGGGGATATAAAGCAGTATTTAATGGATATAATGCAGCATTTAAAGCATTTGATGGAAATAAAGCAGTATTTGAAACAAATAAAGCACCATTTAGTGGAAATAAAGCACCATTTGATGGATATAAACCAGCAGTTAATGGATATAATGCAGTATTTAATGGATATAATGGAGTATTTAATGGATATAATGCAGTATTTAATGGATATAAAGCAGCATTTGGAACAAATAAAGCGGCATTTAATGGAAATAAAGCAACATTTGATGCAAATAAAGCACCATTTGATGGAAATAAAGCACCATTTGATGGAAATAAAGCACCATTTGATGGAAATAAAGCACCATTTGATGGAAATAAAGCACCATTTGATGCAAATAAAGCACCATTTGATGGAAATAAAGCACCATTTGATGGAAATAAAGCAGTATTTGAGACAAATAAAGCAGCATTTGGAAGAAATAAAGCAGCATTTGAAACAAATAAAGCAGCATTTGAAACAAATAAAGCGGCATTTGGAAGAAGTAAACCAGAATTCAAGAGAAATAAAGCATCGTTTGAAAGAAACAAATCACAATTCAAAAGAAATAAAGCATCGTTTGAAAGAAATAAAGCACAATTCAAGAGACACAAATCATAATTCAAAAGAAATAAATCATAATTCAAAAGAAATAAAGAATCATTTCAAAGAAATAAATCATCATTCAAAAGAAATGAACCACAATTCAAAGAAAAGAAATGAAACATAATTCAAAAGAAATAAATCATAAATCAAAAGAAATAAATTATCATTCAAAATAAATAAAGCACCATTTAAAAGAAACAAATCACAATTCAAAAGAAACAAAAAACAAAACATAATAGTCTTCATATCTGAACAAAAAGAGCATTTAAAGAACAAATCCTGAAACATAAAACACTCCAAATGTTCTTTTAATTTCAAATTAAATCCAAAAAAACAAAAAAGAAGAAAAGATAATTCCTCTTGGATTTAAAAACACTGAAGGACTATTTTTATTTTCGAAACAAAGTTCCACTTCAAGAAAAAAGAATTATATTTTCAACAAATGTTTTTCACGAACTAAAAAGTTCGAAAGTTATTTTCGGAATAAATTTTCATTTCAAAATAACAAAGTCTTTCTTTTCGAAACAAATCTCATTTTCCGGAATAAAAGTGCCATTAATTAAAACAAGTTTCATTTTCTGAAATAAAATGTGGTATTAATTAAATAAGTCATGCCATTAATTAAAAAAAGTATCATTTTCTGAAATAAAAGTGCCATTAACTAAAACAAATATCATTTTCTGAAATAAAAAGTGGCATTAATTAAAACAAATATCATTTTCTGAAATAAGAAGTGCCATTAATTAAAACAAATCTCATTTTCTGAAATAAAAGTGCCACTAATTAAAACAAATCTCATTTTGCGGAATAAAAGTGCCATTAATTGAAACAAATATCATTTTCTGAAATAAAAAGTGCCATTAATTGAAACAAATCTCATTTTGTGGAATAAAAGTGCCATTAATTAAAACAAGTCGGCATTAATTAAAGCAAATCGCATTTTCTGGAATAAAAAGTGTTAATTGTCGAAACAAATCCCATTTTCATGAATAAAACTGCCATTAATTGAAACAAATATCATTTTCCGAAATAAAAAGTGTTAATTGTCGAAACAAGTCTCATTTTGCGGAATAAAAGTGCAATTAATTAAAACAAATCTCACTTTCCCGAACAAAAAGTGTTATTTGTCGAAACAAATCCCATTTTCATGAATAAAACTGCCATTAATGGAAACAAGTCTCATTTTGCAAAACAAAAGTGCCATTAATCAAAACAAGTCCCACTTTCCGGAAAAAAAGATATAATTGTGGAAACAAGTATCATTTTGCAGAAGGAAAATGTCATCAAGCAAACCAAGCTTTCTTTTCCGAAAAAAAAAGAAAAAATAATGAAAAAAAGTCTCATTTTGCGGAATAAAAGTGCCATTAACCAAAACAAGTCCCATTTTCCGAAAAAAAGAGAAAAAATAATGAAAAAAAGTCTCATTTTGCAAAACAAAACTGCCACAAAACCAAACAACTCCCATTTTCCGAAAAAAAGAGAAAACAATGGAAAAAACTCGGATTTTCCAGAAAAAAACTGCCACAAATCCAACCACCTCCCACTTTCCGAAAAAAAGAGAAAACAATGAAAAAAAGTCTCATTTTGCATCCCAAAACTGCCACAAATCCCAACAAGTCTCATTTTCCGAAATAAAAGAGTGAAAAACCACTCATTTATCACCAAACCCCTCAAAAAAACCCAGCAAAAAGGCCTGCCGACCCGTTTTCCGTGAAGCGTTTGGTGTCGACGAGAACGACCAAATGGGCGCTCATTTGGAGGCCCCAAGCGGCCTCTTGGGCTGCAACAACAACTTGAATGGCGCCGCTGCTGTGCAGCTGCTGCACCAGCAGCCGCTCAGCAGCAGAAAGACCCGCGTGGAAAAGGCCCACGCCGTAAGACAAAGTCTCCAGCAACATCTTGTCCCGCACGATCGACGTGTACTGCTTCATCGTTTCGTCTGCACGCACATGCATGCATGCATCTTTGCATGCATGCATGCATGCAGGAGTGCATGCATGCATGCATGCAGGGGTGCATGCATGCATGCAGGGGTGCGGAAATGCGCGTCGGAACGGAGGCCGGGGACGCCGGAACCGCCCAGCATGCTTGTGCTGCATGCATGCATGCATGCATGCATGCATGTGCTGCATGCATGCATGCATGTGCTGCATGCATGCATGCATGTGGTGCATGCATGCAGTTGCTTGCCTGAAACGTGGAGGTACTTCTTGGGCTGGTCGTCTGCGGCGGTTTGGAGGAGCAGATCGATGGCGGTGAGTCTGCACTGCTTCCTGTCGGAGCAGAAGACCAAGACGTTCTTGAGTTTCCTGCTGCTGCTGCTGCTGCTGCTGCTGCTGCTGCTGCTGCGGCCCTCGCTCGGGGCCGTGTACAGCTTTATCGCCTGGTGCACCGCCCGAGACATCGCCAGCAGCCGCGCCTCTCTGTTGTAAACGTCGAAGCCGTGCAGCGAAATCTCCAGCGGCACAGTGCGCACGCTGGGGTGGAAGTTGAACAGGCCTGAATTCGAGACAAATTCATCAAAAAATGAACAAATTAATTAAAAAATAAACAAAATAATTAAAAATAAACATATTATTCAAAAAATAAATCAATTTATTGTTGGTAAATGGTCCACTGGGAAGAGAAGGAGCGGCGGTGGCTGCAAGAGTGTGGTGTCTGCTGAGAGGATCCGGAGAGTTGAAGGGCGAAATTGGATCGAATAAAAGCAAATCTGGATTTAATGGATCGAAAAAAAGCGAAACTGCATTTCAAAACATTTAAAAAAGAAAAAAGCGAGAAATAAAATGCATTTTGCACGAAACGGGATCTGTTCAGCTCCTCACCAGTGGCCGAGACGCCCAGCCAGTCCGCCACGTCTTTGGCGTTTGAAAGAGAATTCGCACAAGCCACAATCCGCACAGGCTGCGGCAATTGCGCAGAAATATATCTCATGCGAGAAAGACAGACTTCGAGAGTGGCGCCGACTGGAGAGTTCAGCAAGTGCAGGTCGTCCACCATCAAGAGGCGGATGGACTGCAGCACTTTGCGCGTTTTCCAACGCCGAGACAAAAAGTCCCACTTCTCCGGAGTCGACAACACAATGTGGGACTGTTCCAGAATCTGCAAACGCGCAAAAAGCCAGCTTTCCAGCAAGTCCACCAGGTGTACATACACCGCAGCAACTTGAATTCCCCTGCAAAGAAGCCTATGATCCTAAAGCGCTCCGCGCCACTTCGACTCTTCTCCAGCAGCAGCAGTCTTCTTTCAGCAAATAAAAGCAGCAAAGCAGCAGAACAAAGAAGAAAGCAAAGACAGAAGCAGCAAACGAAGTGGCAGTCCCGGATCACTCTCAGAACACATTCTTGCGGAGTTTGCTGGCCTGCTGCGTTCACTGACACGGAAAGAATGAAAAGAAGAACTTGCCTTGAGATCTGCATGCAAGTCGCCGGTGAGTTCCGCGATTTTGAGGCCCAAACCCGACCCCAACTTGGAACTCCACTGACGCAGAGTTTCCTGAACTACGGAGGCGTAGGGCGCGAGGTAAACGGCTTTCCAGGCACTCGCCGGCTCCGTCTTCAGCATTCGCAAAATTGCAAACTCAATGCAAATCTCTTTGCCACTTGTCGGCGGAAGACACAACAAAACTGGCTCGTTGGTCGAGTACAAAGTGGAAAAGACCTGCGCAGCAAACGCAACTTGCAAGTTGCAAAACAAAAGTCCACTTCTCGCGAGTTTACAGAAATAAAATAAAATAAAATAAAATAAAATAAAATTAAATAAAATAAAATAAAATAAAATAAAATAAAATAAAATAAAATATATTCTTCAAAAGAGGGTTCTCTGCAGATCGGCAAAGGTAACAACACCACCACAAACGCTTTCTGCAAAGTCCCAGAGTGAGTGCTGCTGCCCGCTTTAAAGCTGAATAATTCGAATGATTATAAATGAATAATTATAAATGAATAATTATAAATGAATAATTATAAATGAATAATTATAAATGAATAATTATAAATGCATAATTATAAATGCATAATTATAAATGCATAATTATAAATGAATAATTATAAATGCATAATTACAAATGCATAATTACAAATGCATAATTATAAATGCATAATTACAAATGCATAATTACAAATGCATAATTACAAATGCATAATTCCAAATGCATAATTCCAAATGCATAATTCCAAATGCATAATTACAAATGCACAATTCCAAATGCATAATTACAAATGCACAATTACAAACGAATGATTGAAAATAATTAATTATAAATGCAGCGATTTGCACCTGAGTCTGAATGGGATTGAAGGCTTTAATGCCTTCTTTCTTGTAGAGTTCCTCGGCCTTTTTATCATGCAAAGAAGACACCGGCAGCGGCTGCAAGTCCAGCAGCTCTGCATGCGGCGGCGGCTTTTCCGGCAAAATTAAATTGCGAAAAGAAATCGGAAGAGACGCCGCCGAGTGCAGCCACCGATCGGAAATCGCTCGAATGCAATAATTCGGAGGAATTGGATCTGTCACTGGCAAAGTGAAGGTCAGCGTGTGCTCCACTTCGCCTTGAAACGCCGGCAATATGAACATCTGCCGAGAAACAATACCACAAGTTGCAGAAAAGAAAAGTTTATAATGCATTTTCAATGCGGAAAACGGGTTTTTTATGTGGTAATTGTTTTGTAAATCTGTTGAACATGTTTTAAATGCGCTACAACGGGTTTTTAATGCGCTAAAACGGGCTTTAAATGTGTTAAAACGGGTTTTAAGTGTGCTAAAACGGGCTTTAAATGTGTTAAAACGGGTTTTAAGTGTGCTAAAACGGGCTTTAAATGTGTTAAAACGGGTTTTTAATGTGGTAGTTGTTTTGTAAATCTGCTAAACATGTTTTAAATGTGCTAAAACGGGTTTTAAATGCGCTAAAACGGGTTTTTAATGTGTTAAACGTGTTTTAAATGTGTTTAAAAGTATTGTAAATGTACTAAAACATGTTATAAGTGTGTTAAAACATGTTATATATGTAGTAAATCGTATTATAAATGTGTTAAGACGTGTTGTAAATGTGTTAAAACATGTTATAAATGGATTAAAACATGCTATAAATGTAATAAAACATGTTATAAATGTATTAAAACATGTTATAAATGTAATGAAATACATTATAAATGTATTAAAACATTATAAATGCGTTAAATATGTTATAAAATGTGTTCAAATATGTGATAAATGGATTAAAACACATTATAAATGTATTAAAACATTATAAATGCGTTAAATATGTTTATAAAATGTGTTACAACATGTTATAAATGGATTAAAACTCATTATAAATGTATTAAACCATTATAAATGTGTTAAATATGTTATAAAATGTGTTAAAACATGTTATAAATGTGTTGGGCGGAACATTCCAAGCAAACTCCCGCAGCGGGCGAATTCGAAAAAGCACCAAAAGAAGTTCCCGAGGAAATAAGAGCAGCAAAAAAGAACTCAAAGAAACAAAAAAGAATTCAAAGAAACAAAAAAGAACTCAAAGAACAAAAAAGAACTCAAAGAACAAAAAAGAACTAAAAAGAGTTCAAAGACACCAAAAAGAGTTCAAACACACTAAAAAGAGTTCAAAGAAACTAAAAAGAGTTCAAAGAAACTAAAAAGAGTTCAAAGAAATTAAAAAGAACTCAAAGAAGCAAAAAAGAATCCAAAGAAGCAAAAAAGAACTCAAAGAAACGCAAAAGAATCCAAAGAAGCAAAAAAGGAACTCAAAGAAGCAAAAAAGAATTCAAGAAACTAAAAAGAACTCAAAGAAGCAAAAAAGAACTCAAAGAAACTAAAAAGAATGGAAAGAAACAAAAAAGAATTCAAGAAACAAAAAAGAATTCAAGAAACAAAAAAGAATTCAAGAAACTAAAAAGAATTCAAGAAACTAAAAAGAAGACCTCGTGGTGTAGAATCAGTTCGCAGTCGACGTCGTGGACAATAAATGGAAGAAACAAAAAAGAACTCAAAGAAACTAAAACCAATTCAAATAAACTAAAAACAATTCAAATAAACTAAAGCCAATTCGAATAAACTAAAACCAATTCAAATAAACTAAAAACAATTCAAATAAACTAAAAACAATTCAAATAAACAAAAAAGAATCAAAAAAGAATCAAAAAAGAATCAAAAAAGAACAAGACCTCGTGGTGAAGGATCAGTTCGCAGTCGACGTCGTGGACGACAAATGGAAGAAACTAAAAGAATGGAAGAAACTACAAACACTCCAAAGAAACTAAAAACACTCCAAGCAAACTAAAAACAATTCAAATAAACTAAAACCAATTCAAATAAACTAAAAAGAAACTAAAAATAGACTAAAAAGAACAAGACCTCGTGGTGAAGGATCTGTTCGCAGTCGACGTCGTGGACAGTAAATGGAAGAAACTAAAAACACTCCAAAGAAGCTAAAAACACTCCAAATAAACCAAAAACAATCCAAATAAACTAAAACCAATCCAAATAAACAAAAAAGAATCAAAAAAGAATCAAAAAACAATCAAAAGAGTCAAAAAGAAACTACCTCGTGGTGAAGAATCTGTTCGCAGTCGACGTCGTGGACGAGGATCCAAAAGACTTCTCCGTTTCCGTGGAGTTTGGCGTCCCACTGGAAGTCGGGGGTGAGAGTGAGTTCAACAACGAGGCAGGAGCGGCTGAGAGGCTGGACGAAAGCTGCAAGTTCAAGTTTTGGAAAAGAATGAATTAATCGGTGGAGAAGTTTTCCCATTTTCGGAACTCGAATGAGTTCTCCGATTTCAGTGGAGGTCAAGTCGTAGTAACGCTCGAAAGGAAGGTCTTTCTTCTCGACTTTGCGCAGCAGTTCTTCGGGTAGAACCTGCATGCAGGGGAAGGAAAGAGTCTTTGAAAGGAATGGTTTTAATGCAAGTTGGATTAATTGAAAGGAAATAAAAGGGGTTTTGTTGAAAAGAACCTTTAAAAGGAAAGTAAAGCGGACTTTTGATGCAAGTTGCACGAATTGAAACGAAATGGAAGGGATTTCATGCAAAAGACTCATTAAGCGCAAAATAGAAGCGATTTTGATGCAAAAGACTCTTTAAAAGGAAAAAAGAACAGATTTTAATGCAAAAGACTCTTTAAAAGGAAATAGAAGGGATTTTGATGCAAAAGACTCTTTAAACGCAAAATAGAAGCGATTTTGATGCAAAAGACTCTTTAAAAGGAAAACAGAACAGATTTTAATGCAAAAGACTCTTTAAAAGGAAAAAAGAACAGATTTTAATGCAAAAGACTCTTTAAAAGGAAAACAGAACAGATTTTAATGCAAAATGCACTAAATGAATTGCAAATAGAAGGAATTTGAATGCAAAAAGCACAAGTGCTGGCACAGACTGCAGGATTTCTTGAAAGTCGAGAAGACCTTTTAAAACAAGACGGACTTTGAACTGCCGCAAAGGAGTCATGGTGCTCCACATGCGGCCCTGGACTTCGTTGCAAAGTTGAAGAGAGCGGATTGCAAGTTGTGCCCAACCTCTTCGCAAGCAAATGTCGAAGATGGCGCGGAGGATTCTGCTGGCGCTCTGCTGTACGTACACCATGTCGGCCATCATGGCGAAGCCCTCCAGCTTCAGCTTGCTGATGTAAGCTTGCAACAGAACATTAACTTTCGAAGAAGGCTCATCGGGAGAGCCTTTAACGGGGATTGGAACTCGCTCCATGAGCCGCTGCAGCTCCAGCTTCTCTTCTTCGCGAACTGGCATGTACTTGAACTCCGAAGACAGCGAAAAAAGCCGCAAGAGTTCGATATCCGACAGAGTCGGTTTCAAGTGCTCGTTGTACACCGCAATGGTCTGGTGCTTTATGTAGTAGTGGCTCGCCACCCGCCCCATCGCTGTCACGTGGATTGTGCCAGTTCTCTTGTCGTATTTTATCAAAAAGTGCCGATCCAGAGTTTTCAACGCAGAGTCCGCCAAGTTTATGCAGTACTGCTCCAACAGTTTGTCCCCCAACACCAACTCCGGCGGCACGCCGTACAGCGAAGGCGCCTTCAGCATCCGCACGTACAAGTACGTGTACCCCAGCCAGTGCACAGCGTCTTCTCTGCTTCTCACGGATCCTGAATTCAAATAAAAAAAGAAAAGATTTAATTGTTCATCTTTTGCAACAAAAGAAAAAGATCCAATTGTTCATCTTCTGCAACTTTTCATGCTCCTCTCTAAAGCCTCGACTCCGCCGAATTTCGGATTTGAAGTTCAACTAGAATTCAGTCCGGGGTAGAAGCAGCAAAGCGCGTTTGAAAATATTCCAACTTTATAATTCCAACTTTATAATTCCAACTTTATAATTCCAACTTTATAATTCCAACTTTATAATTCTCTAACTCTGACTCCGTTCGAAGTCCCACTGCTGCATGCAGGGAGGCCGCGGCGGCCCCGGCTTACCGAGCACGATCTCGGCGTTGAGCATGTCTGGCAAGCACTGGATCATTTGGGACTCAATTGGGAGTTGTTGATTATTCAAAGAAAGATAAAACTGAAGTTCGCTGTGCTGAGTTATTAAGATCGCGTGGCCGCCGGTGTCGTACTGCGGCCTTCCCGCGCGGCCCATCATTTGCAAGATGTCCATTGGCGACAACTCCGACCACGCGCCCTTCTCCGGCAAATACACTTGAGTTCCTGCCGAAACAAAGTCAAAAAACAAAAATAACTCACAAAAGAAGCCATAATGACTTCAAGATGCTTCGAAATTAATGTCCGTACACTGGAATGAACTTGAACGTGGCCAGTCTGAAACATGAATACTAGCGGGCACCGCTGCTGCAGGTCAACTGCTGCACTGTAGTTTGCATCCCGGCAATTACTCTAAAGGTTTATTGCTTTTATTCATTTTAGAAAAGTCCAAACAAGAAAGATAAATGGAATGCAAAGATAAACGGAAGGCTGACCTTTGATGATGACCGTGTGGGCGGGAAGGTTGACACCCCAGGCCAGAGTCGCAGTGGACACGAGAACTTGAATGTGTCTGTCAGCAAACAAGTCCTCCACGAGTTTTCTGTCCGTTCGGGGAAGTCCCGCGTGGTGAACGGCGAAGCCGTAAGGCAGCAGGTCTTTCAAGTCTTGGGTTTTGACAGCCTCCGCCTCCGCCTGCAGAATCTCCCGACTTGCAGAAAAACTCTGCAGAAAACGCGGCAGCGTATCTTTTTGAAGAGCCGCGTCGCATATGAACTTCGCCGTCTTCACTGTTTCCTTGCGGCTGTGCACAAAGATGAGCACTTGGTTCTTCCCAGCGCACTCCAGAACCTGAAAGCAGCAGCAGCAGCAGCAGCAGCAGCAGCAGCAGCAGCAGCAGCAGCTCGAGCGCATCAGCACGAAGCGCATGCATGCATTAACTAAGTTGAATTCCACTAGTTAAACTTGGCCTCTTAGCAGTTGAAAAGGCCGTTGTTGTTCAAGTTCCAGTTCCCAGGAGCAGCCGCTGCAGCAGATTGAACTCGAAGACTGGCTTTTGAACAGAAGCACCTTTTCGTAAGTGACATCATTCATCGTGTTGTATCTGCGGATGGCTTTCTTGTCTTTTATTCCAATGTAAGTCTGCTTCAGAGGCACTGGGCGGTAGTGGTTGCCGAAGACAAAGAGCCCCCGCTCCGGCTTGACTCGCAGGAAGACCGCCACGTCTTCGTAGTTGGGCAAAGTCGCGGAAAGCCCCACCAGTCGGATGTGTTCTTGCGACATTTCAATTTGCCTGATGGTGCGGGCCACTATGGCTTCTAGCACGGGGCCCCTGGTGTCGTGCAGCAAGTGGATTTCGTCAAAGATCACAAGTCGAACGAGCTGCGTGTAAGCTCTTTCGCCCGCTTTCCGAGTTATAATGTCCCACTTTTCCGGAGTTGTGACGATGACTTGCGTTTCCTCGATCTTCTCCCGCGTCAAGTTCGCGTCGCCCGTCAGCTCCCGCACGGAAACTCCAAACGGCTGCAGCCGCTGCGAAAAGGCCTGCACCTGCTCCGCCACCAGCGCCTTCATCGGCGAAATGTAAATGATTTTGAATCCTTTCAAGTCCAGCGCGCCGCTCGCCGGGTGTCTGTACTGCCCGATCACGTTCAACATCGCCAGCATCGCCACGTTCGTCTTCCCCGCCCCCGTCGGCGCGCACAACAGCAGATTTTCCTCGTAAGCGTTGAAAGCAATGTCATAAACTTTCGACTGCAGTGCATTAAGTCGGTCAACTCCGACTCCCGCGAACGCCGGCTGACTCCACTCCGGCATCGAAGACACCAGCACCAGCCCCTCGGTCTTCTCCGCCGGCCGCTTCAGAGCTGGCACGATCACTTCGTCGTAACTCTGAAAACCACCAACAAACAGCTTCCCACATTCCCCTTCATGAAATTATGAATTATGAAAAACATGGCTCTAAAAGGCTTTCCCAAAAGGCCAAAAGTGGCAGGAAACACCACACGGAACTGCTCAGAGAACCAAAAGACTTGTGCAAAAAGTGTGGATTGCCGTTGTGGCTGAAGCCTCCCCTGCCCCTTCACCGGCACTTGCATGCGAAATGCAATTATGAACACAACACTGCAAACTGGAGAAGCTGAATTTGGGTTTCCTTTCAAACACGGAGGAGGTGCTGCGCCGGAGCTCACCTTAGTCTCAATCCGCTGCGTCCCGTCGGGCAGTTTGACCTTCGCGTTCGCCATCAAGTGGCTGCCCTGGTGAAAAGCAATGCTTTGCAAGTCCACAGATCCCGTGGGTTTGCGTTGGGCGGCTTGGCTAGAAGGTCCCACGTGGCCGCCGGGGGCGCCGTGGGAGCCTCCGCCGAGGGCGGTGGCGTCGTCGTCGGCCTCTGCGGCTCGAAGGGAGGCGTCCCGGGCCTGATCAGGAAAGAAAACTTGCAAAAGAGTTCAAAAAAGTAAAAAAGAGTTCAAATAAATCGACTTCAGCGGGAACTTGGCGCAAATTCCGGAGGATCGCGCAGCTTCCTTCCACAGCCAGCGCAGCCGCAGCCGCAGCAGCAGCAGCAGCAGCAGCAAAGCCCCTCTTCAAGCGGAACAAAGCCCCAAAAGCTGCATGCGCTGCAGCAGCAGTTACCTGGGCCTTGGCAGCAAGCGTTGCTGCTTCCTTGCGGACATTGAGGGTGACTTCCTTCTCCTTGTTGCGCCTGGAGGTGAGGGCGTCGAGGAGCTCGAGGACCTCCTGGCCTTCTTGGGAGAGTTTCATTTCCTCGCGAATGCCCTCCTTTTCCTCGGTGGTTTGGGCCTGGCCGAGGCGAATGCAGTAGAAGAGCTTCCACCTGTTTTTGAGGATTTTCTTCGCAAGTTCGAAGTTCTCGTACTTCAAAATCAACACCAACTTGTTCTCGCACTCCTGAATGTCCGGAATCGGCAAAATCGACAAGATTTCCTTCTCAGTGGCCACGGCTTGGTTCGGATCTGCAAAGACGGAGTTCAGTTCCCGCTGCAGCCAGTGGGGGTCGATCTTGGAAACGTCGAGTGAGTACTGCGTTTCGGAGTTGTCCACTTCTTCTTCGTCGAGGTTCTTCGCCGCCAAATAAGTCTTTTCTTTTTCTTCTTGTTCTTCAGTTTCTTCGTCTTCGTCTTCTTCTCCCTCCGCCTCCATGTCCGAGTAGTCCAAGTCCTCTTCGCCTTCTTCCTCTTCGTCAAATACCACCGCCACTCCCGCCGTCGCGTCCGGCTCCGCTGCGGCCAAAAGGTGACAGTCGCAAAACGCATGCAATCTGCATGCACGCATGCAGATTGCATGCATGCATGCAATCTGCATGCATGCATGCACTCTGCATGCATGCATGCAGTCTGCATGCATGCATGCAGTCTGCATGCATGCATGCACGAGCACTCAGGCGCAACTGGCATCGCAAACGCATGGAATCTGCAAGCATGCATGCATGCACCAGCACTCAGGCGCAACTAGGGTCGCAAACGCATGCAATCTGCATGCATGCATGCAATCTGCATGCATGCATGCATGCATGCATGCAATCTGCATGCATGCATGCACGAGCACTCAGGCGCAACTAGGATAGCAAAGTCCAGTCAAACCGCTCAAAATGCATGCGAATTCGCCGCAGCAGGGGCTGAACAGCACAAGAACTCAACCTGCTGCTGCTGCTGCTGCTGCTGCTGCTGCTGCTGCTTCTCCCGGCACATAAATGCAAAAGCGTGGCAAAGCGCAACAAGTCTGAGACTTTGGAGTGTGCGGAGAAACAGCAAGCGCGCGCATGCATGCAGCGTGCAGCAGCTTTGCTGCTGCATGCATGCTGCTGCAGCGTGCAGCAGCTTTGCTGCTGCATGCATGCTGCTGCAGCCTGCAGCAGCTTTGCTGCTGCATGCATGCTGCTGCTGCAGAAGAAAAGAGAAAAGCCGCGGGGCTTTACCTGCTTCGTCAGCTTCTTGGTCGGCTCCCATGAAGTCAGTGATGTTTTTGGAAAGCTGGAAAAGCTTGGTGAAGCGCTCTTGAGAAAGAGCCCCCAAGACAGCCTCAATTCCCCTTTTTCTGTCTCCTTCTTTGAGTCCATCTTCTTTCAAAACTTGCAAAACTTCATCTGCTGCGCCCCGCAGCACTTCGTCGGGCTGGTCGCCGAGCTGCTGCTGCAGCAGCACCAGCAGCTGTTCGTACACCTGGTGCGTCGCGCGCGTCGTCGGCCGGTAAAAAAAATTCTCCGTCACATCTGCGTCCAGCACTGTCGACCCTTTCTTGATGTCCTGCAAATAATAAAAAAGAAATAAAAAAGCAACAATTAGCAGCAGCAGCAGCAGCAGCAGCAGCAGCAGCAGCAGTTTTGCTGGAATTCGATTCGACTTGCATGCAGAGAGCAGCAGAGAAACGTGCAAATGCTGCTTTGTGGAAAGTGCGCAGCAAAAGACACTTGCACGCTGCTGCAGCAAACAGCACTTGCTAATTGTTGCCAAGTCACGCGGCTGCAGCGGCGCAGCAGCAGCAACTGCTGCAGCGCCGCAGCAGCAGCAACTGCTGCAGCGAAGCAGCAGCAGCAACTGCTGCAGCGCCGCAGCAGCAGCAACTGCTGCAGCGAAGCAGCAGCAGGAACTGCTGCAGCGCCGCAGCAGCAGCGCCTGCTGCAGCGCCGCAGCAGCAGCGCCTGCTGCAGCGCCTGCTGCAGCAGCAGCAGCAGCAGCAGCAGGAGCAGCAGCAAGTGGTGGGGTGTTGGGGCACTTACGAGTTTGGCTCTTTTGGCAAGGCCTCCTTCCTTGAGTTTGTTTCTTCTTTTTCCGATTTTTTCCTTTTCTTCCTTCTTCAAACCCCGCTCGGCCTTGTCCCCCATGGGGTACAACTTGCGGCCCGCCAGCGACTCCGGCTCGCCCGTGGGCTCGCCCTGGTGGGCCCCCCCGGGGGCCCCCGTGAGGTAGGGGTCGCGCTGCAGCACGAGGTTGCTGTTTTGTCGGTATTCGAAGCGCTTGAAGCGCTCGAAGGCCTCCGCCATCTTCGCGGGCGTTCAGCTTTTCGGCGGAGTCGGGGGCTGCGGGCGCTGGCCAGTCCAGTTCGCGGAAAGCTTTCGAAAAGTGCACGAGATCGCCGCAAACTGCGGCAACGCCTACGCAGAGCCACGCGCGAGCAGCCCCCAAGTTCCTTGCTTGTGCTCGTGGCGCATCTTGGGCTCCGCTCTCGCTCCCGCCCTCTTCCGTTGGCGTCGCAAAAGATATATTACCAGCACGCTTCAACTCGAAATACCAGTTCTCCCGCAAAGAGCCGCAAGCATTCCAAGTGCATGCACGAGCCGCCGGGTCCAGCCCCATGCTAACGAGATGAGTGGCGGCGGAGGAATGGGGCTGGCAGCCTTGAAGCCCCTCTGCACGATAAGATAAAAAAAAGAGAAACTTCATGTAAAAACATTTGCAGAAGTTCTAAAATGCTGAAAAAAGACCCCAAACAACCACTGCCCCCCCTTTTAGATCGGGCTGTGCGGGAGCGAACGGCGTGGGCATTCCAGCGCTGTAGTGTATGGACAGCTGGGACAGTGCTTGGGTTCCCAATAAATTGGTCAGCTTTCCTCGATAAAACACTTTGAAAAAGCGGACTTTGAGGCTTTAGGTGCTGCAAATATTCAGAACAGGAGTAGTAGAGCTTAAGAGGATCCGAAATGACTGTTCAACTTTCGGTTCTGGCTCTGTAGATTTCTGCGTCGCATGAAACAGTACTCATGCAAGAGCGCAACCAAGCCAAGAAATTCGGCATTTTCGGCTTCTTGAGCTTCAATTTTAAGTTTGGTCATTTTGCAACTCAACAACTTCAATATCGTAAACGGCATTCTAGTTGCGGAGGTTCCTCCTCCCGTACTGCCGCGATTAAGCAGTTATTTGCCCCTCCGTAGAAAGGACTTCTTCTGTAGCTAGCCTGACATACTTGTCTCTGTCTTTTGCACTGTGCCTTTAAACACTATTTGGCAGTCTTAAAAGCCCCCATTTTCCTTCTGCGAACACTATCTACTTCTGAAGTTCTGGCCTCTGCTGCAAGTTCCCAGGGGGCTGTCAGTGTGTGCTGCGGACTTCAGTATTGTCTTTTAGCAAAGTCTCCCCAGCATGCGACTGAGTTGGTTCAACGGGGAATTAAATTTTCGCTGTTTTTTTTCTCCTTTAGTCACTAAAAAGGAAGCAAAGTTTGCCTCTCTGCTGCTGAATTTGCAAGTTGGAAACCCAGAGTTTCTGCAGAAGAGCTCCTAGCCCGAGGCCTCAGGCCACGGGAGAAGCTTCTTGCTGTGGCCCCCGCATGCACATGAGATTAATTCAAATAAATAAAAATTCAAGTTTCCGTAAAAAAAAAAGTTCAAGAAAACAGAATAATTTGAGGCAAGCCTGAGGCCACGGGAGTTACTCTAGCACTGAGTGCAGCACTGCAGTTGCGGCACACTTTAATAAAAGTGGAAAGGAAAAAGTTATTCAAAATTCATTTTTGTCTTTTTGCAAAAAGATGAGTGGAAACGAAGAAGTTATTCAAAATTCGTTTTTGTGTTTTGCAAAAAGATGAACGAGAGGGGAAGCCTCTCCAGAAGTGAATTAAAGCACAAGACGAGGCTCTTTTGCGAGCCGAATAAAAGCCTCGCTGAAAACTTTGCAGAAGTTAGTTTCAACTCTGCGGCTAAGAGGTTCAAACCCCCGCTTCCGCGCGGCCATTCACAAAGTTCGCTTCTGCTGCAGCTGCTGCAGCAGCTGCTGCTGCTGCTGCTGCTGCTGCTGCTGCTGCTGCTGCTGCAGCTGCTGCTGCAGCAGCAGCGAGAATAAAAATCCTGCCAGGCGGACTCGAGGGTTGCGCGGCAGTGCTGCGGAAACAGTGCAGCTGAGTGTGCGCGGCTTCGTTGCGAGTTCAAGAAAAACAAGACAAGACCTTGGAGTGGAGAGTTCGAAGCGGACTACCTGAATGGGAACTGAAGTTGCATCAGATCTCGTGGCTTTCCCTTCGCAGCTTGCAAGTCCCTCTCGGAATCTAGCTGGCCCTTCCCCTGCCTCTTTTAGATCTTAAACTATTCGCCAGAGGCCAGCAGCAGACACCGGCAAAACTCAGCGGCACAAGCTGGGCGGCAGCAGACATCCTCACAGCTAGCAGGCAGCTCTACAAGTGCCTCAGCGCGAGACTTGTGCAGATTTTTCGCAGAGTCTGTCTCGCAAAACGATTTTGCTGCACCTGCGGGAAGTCCGTCTTAGTCCTGCTACCACAAAAGTTCGCACTTGCCACGAAACCCGCAGCTGGAGGAGCAGCAGCCTGTCAGCGACACAGAGAGTCGCGGTGAGCGAAAGCCAAGTCGACAGGCCCGCGATCTCCAAGATCACAAAACTGGAAGGTCGGGCCACCACTTTTGTCGTGGAGTTGAGGAGTTTCTGAGGTGAAGCGCCGGCGGCTCCACACATGTCCGATCTGTTCAAGTTCCTGGGCTGGGAAGCGCGGTGGCAGGGCTCTTTGCTGTGGCGCCGTACAAATGATGAGCTGTAGACAAAAGTCCATTGCATTGTTAAAGCTCTTTACTTTCTTGCATGCGCGATGCCATGCGATGGGCGCGGCATACGACACAGGTGTTGGAACTGAGGACTGTTACTGCAATCTTTCGTGGGCAAATTTCGCCACAATTTCACACACATTACAAATTTTTCCACTTTGGTGCATGCGAATCATTGGAGCTGGTTGTGAGGCTTTGGTGGCTTTTCGAGAGCTCGAGATCGCAAACAGGCAGCGAATAAGTGGGCCAGAAACAGCTACGCCTGCTGCGACTGAGGCGCAGGCCAATCTAAGTGATGCAGATGCATTCTAGCACACATAGGAACTATTCAGACAGCCTGTGCGATATATGATGTGCGAGGTCGGGGAACTCCTTCATAATTCCAAAAGCAGTGATCCTGTTGACTCTTTCGGGCTCCAGCAAGCGCAGGATAAGCTCTGACCACCTTTCGGGAACATGTGCAGCTTCCAGCTGTGGCCGCAAGATTTCAGATCTAGTTTTCCTTTCAAGCAATGCTTTCGCCAGCTCCTTCGAGTCCTCCATTTCGTACCACTCGTCCATGCCGTAGGCAGATTCTCCCTTTGTGAACAACTCGAACAAGAGGCTCCCAAGAAGCCACATGTCGACGGCAGGGTGAGACAAACAGGCCTCGCTTGTTTCGATGGAACGAAAGATCGAGAGAACGAGCTGCGGCTCAGATCTTTCCAGATTGAACGCAGCAAAAGGCCCGTAGGGCCAGCCGAAGGGGGCGGAGGAGCGAAAGCTGCTCACGACGAAAGAACCGTCGGGACGCACAAAGATACTGCTCCAGTCCACAGCCGCACTGCTTATTCCTGCCTTCTGCAGTTTGAGGAAGACCTGCAGCAAGCGGCTGGCAACGTATTCGTTGACTTGTGGCAGAAGAGCTTCGTCTCGCAGATCCAAAGTCCGCATGCTTCCGTGCAACTCTTCGAGGAGGTAAACTTGACCAAAAACGTAGCTTCCATTGATTACAGTGGCGTCTGTTGCACCTGCAACGTTTGCAGTGTAAATCGGAACGGTGGCGATTTCCTGCGAGTCTTCCCCGCCCTCCGGAGTGCTCTTGGAGATCTGACTAGCCACTTTTGCGTCAATGTCATTCCAATACGAAGTTGTTTCAAAGAGCCCCTCGCTGTCGGAGAACGCCGACGCCAGAGGAGCTTGCATTATGCAAATGCGCATGGTGTACAACTCCCGGGACTCGAGATCCTCTGCCAGAACGAGCAAGCCCGAGGAGTCCGAGCCCACAACTTTTGTAATGCGCATTTTGCTAGGCACAGGTTTGTTCTGCGCACGGGGTTTGAACGGGACTACGTTTTCGAGTTCAACTGTCATTCCCAGCAGCGACTCGGACTTGTCGTTCGATAGAGTTCTCGCAGCAAGGTGCTGCCTGTTCGCCGGGTCTACAGAGAGTCTGCTGCTCTTCTTTGGTTCGGAATGTGCAGATTTAACTGCCTGGGCGATCGCTTCTTTGCCTTGCTTCAGAGTCGGGGAAAGGGTTTCTTCAAAGTGTGTTATCGTCGGCAGGCCCCACTCATCGTACTGGGCGGGCAGTTGCCGGTGGGTCCAACGCCCCGAGATAGTTGCGGGAGGCCGAATATCAGAAACTTGCAAAGCTTTGCCAGTAGAGTCGGCTGGCTGGTGCAGCCGTTGCTTCAGAAGTCCCACCAAAATACAAAAAGCGACAGCAGCGAAAAACGTTGGAACGAAGAATAACTTTCTCTTCGGTCGACGAATAGAGGCCGTTTTCTTTGAGTCGGATGAAAGTTCGTGAATCTCTAGACTGTCCATATCAACAGGTACCACGCCGTCATTTCCTAAGCTCACGCTTAAGCCTGTTTCCGCAGGCTCGAATACGCCGCTCATCTTTTCGAAAAAGAGGCCTGGAGGAGACCACGACAAAAGCTTTTCCAACTAAGCTGCACATTACGGAAACATGAGGCATTAACCAGACGTTGAAGATCTACGCGGCTATGAGCGCCGTGGCGGCAACTCGAGCACCCCGCATCACAGTCTTCCGCTGGCCAACAGTTGAGCGTTTCGAAGGCAAAGCGGAACGAATGAACCCAAAAGACACAGAAACAAAGGGTTCTTTGTTGTCAGGCATGTAGGAATAAAGGTATGGAGGCGGCTTGTTCACCCCACATCGTCAAGGCTGATGACGCAGTCCTGTGGACTGGTTCTACCTCCTCTTCGGGAAAACTGCAGCAGCGTCTGGTTTGAACTCGGACTACATTTGGTCGCGATTCCTTTATTTTTGGGTTTCTTTGATTTGTTTCACACTTTAAGTGAGTGTGAAGGGTGGGTTTCAGAGGTAGCAACTGTCCGCCACCTATCTTCGAGGCCATAAAACTGAGACAACAGGTAAATTACTGCGAAGCCCTTGCAGTACATTGGTTAATAATCCGCCTTTAAGCTGCAGTTGATATGAAAAACAATGTCTCAAAGACAGGCTTATTTGTCTTGCTCTCATCAACGACATGTTCTGTGTAGCGAAGACTCGGACTACCGCCAGCGTCTCGCATCGGCATTCCAGTAACCTCGGCTTTTCATCCAGTAGCGCCGGCGCCTCACTATTGCCGAAATAGTTAGTGTAATTCCGTGAAATATTTTCGATTATGCATTTGTCAACAAACACAGGGCGCTGCAGCCAGGTTTTCGGGGCACATGAAAATCTTGCCGTTGCTAGTGGGTATACTTCGTATCAAGAACACGACTCAGGAGTTTCTCTATCCTCTCGCCGTCACTGCGCCCTCTCCCCAAGCATCTGTGAAAATTCAAGTTTGTCTGAGAAGAGTGCACAATGACGTCCAGCGTTTTCCTCTCGTTTTCAGCGGCGCATTTCACCAGATCCGGGGGGCTTTGGGACTCACTTTTCCAGTGGGCGCGCCACTCCTCGTGAGTGTTTCAGCTTCTAAGAAGCGCAATAAGCCTTCTGACCCCATTTTGGAAACAGAGATTCCCGAAGATAGGCCATAAATTCGGTTGAGCAGAGGCAGGACTGCTAGGAGGCGTGCTGAGAGCCTTTGAAGCGCATTTGACCAACACATCGGCGAGCTGCCTTCCACTGATGATTGGCGCAATATCAAGTGAGGCAGCACGAATTATTGATGAATTCCTTCTGAAACGGACCTTGCAGTCCCAAAAACACGCAGTTTTCTTGTTTGTCCTCTGCGTATGATCGGCCTCGAAAAACTCCCCTCAGCATAATCGCGAAGCAGCTACGTTGCTGCTTTTATGGCGCTTACACTGCACAAATTTATAAACTCTCCTAACTTGCGAGCAAATGTGTATGAAGCAAAGATGTATGGAGCTTACAAAACCATGGTCCAAAAGCGAAACTTACGTGGCTTTCCTGTAAAGCTTCCTGTAGCCTGGTGTTGCATCCTCTGCTGTTTTGTCCCTAGTTTGTGATAAAATGGCGCCTTAAATTCGCAATAAGCTTAGACACTGCAAAATAAATTGGTGAAGACTCAACGGATAATTAATGCGAGTTTTCCACATGTGTCGACGGAACCTGTAAACTACGCCTCAAGAGTCTTCTGACTGAAAAGTGGTAGGCCACTGTGTTCATCGGCAAGTGACAGAGGTTTACTGCTCCCTTGTAATCACCGAAGATTTTTACATGAAGCATATCACGACTATTGCAGCGGTTCGGTGCAGATTGCTGGCAAAGTTGCTAGCAGGATCGAGCCGAACGCGTGGATGTGTCTTAGCCCGTTAATACGGCATCTAACGAGGACTCGCGGCATAGTCTCGTCTTTCAGAACTTTAAAAATAAACAGTTCCCAGCTTCCCTCACTGTAGCTTAATATACTGTTCCCAGCTTCCCCAACTGTGTGGCCTTGCAGGAATCTGCGCCGGCTTCCTTGAAAACCCAGTGGCCGCTTACATGCCAGCCACATAACAGCTACATCGGTAGCCAGCAGTAACACCAACGCCTATAAATGATGGCGAGTGACACCCTTTGACACATACGTTCCCAGCTCCTCTTGTACTGCAAACCAATACTGTTGCACGCCAATACCTCCCGTGGACTTTGCAGGAACAGCGCCTCGCCGCTCCTTTGCTGCAATAAGAAATCGAAATAACCTTCACAGCCCTCTATTGGGCGGTTGTGTTTCTAGGTGCAAAGTTTACTCAACGGATTGCAAAGATTACGTGAAAATGCCCCAAGACGAAGAAATGGAACTGAGTCTGAGGTCGGCTAACGATCTAACAAAGGACACCTTTCTACCTAGAGCTCCGCATGGTGAGCTGTTGAAATGGTTCCAGAGTGTAAGCAGCGTAAAGATCAAAGACAGGCCGAATTCAATATTGAATTCAATTCAATACAGAATCGCCTCCAGCTCGTCTACAGGGCCCGCAAGCCTCCTACACCGGCCGCACTTATCCTAGCACGCTGCTAATCTATGTGGGATGCGCCAGCTCTAAAGATAAATTTCCACTGAATAAGGAGATCTTCGGTACTAAACTGGGGATATAAGCTCACTTTGACGCGTTTGGTTGGCCATGCTTTTGCATTTTGATTAACAGGCTGCATTTGAAGCCGAATGGACCACTAGTGAGACTAAAACACTGAGTGGGAGCTCTACTTTTCACGATATACAACAAAATTTCCAGTCTTTCCCCATCCTTGAAGGATTTAGTTGAGCTCTAGGGGTCGGCAGCACCTGGATAAAGGGCAACGCTTGCACATGGAATTGCAGGCTCTTTGCATTGCCTAAGGGCACCTTAAGCCTCAGATAGCACTTCCGTCTATCAAAGCGTTCTCGCAGGAGTATACCTGCAGTGAAAATTCAAGTAATGTCTGTGGGAAAACTATAAAAAGTGTTGCCTTGATAAAATACCGAACACTGACTCTAAGTGGGATCCCACGGCTGCAGCGCCAGTCTCCGTCCGGCCGCCAGCGCCTGACTGTGACGCAGCCAAGCTCTTGGAAGTAGTATAAAAAAAAGCCGCACATCCATATTTACGCTTCCGATTAATAATGGCCAATTTTAGGCTCGCCAAACGAAGGAAAAAATAGTTGACAAGTCCTGAGGCTCACTCAACTGCCTCTGGAGCCTCTGGCGTCGGCTGAGTGACTGCGAACAGCAAAGGCAAACACAGCTCTTGAAAATAGTGTCAAAGATTTAGTTGGGCGCGGCTACGTTCCATGATTGTGCCAAGCTTTGCTCTGATTCCCTACACCCAATTCTTTTGATGGATGAACAGTTCAAATTCTTGCAAAGTCGAACGTGCTTGTAAAAGCCTTTTAAGAGGATGCGGCCTTTAAGAGCTTACTGAAAACCTCAAGTAAAACCCTTCCTGTGCACGGCACGGAGTCTGGCCTCTCCAAAATTATATCCATATGGGTTGTTCTTTCGTCCATTGCTGCAAGCGAACACAATGCTTTGCGTCTACAAGCTTACATGCCCTCCAAGCGCTCAAATTGAACTTGAAATTGCTTCTGAATTAAACGGCCCTTCGGCACATGAACATGCTGGGCGAACAGCAGTAAAACTGCAAGAAAGATAACTTTGACTTCAAGCTACCGTATTGAACGCACGAATACCCTTTTCGGCCTCCTCCAAACAAATACTCGCCATTTCCTCAGCTACTAACGATACGTCACGCTTAAACTGCACGCCCACACATAAGCCACACGCAAGTTGTCGCAACTGCGGCGTGATTCACAGCAGTTGGCCTGGCTGATGTTAAGCTACGCGGCCAATTGCCAAATGTAAGGGGAAACATCTCACGCACATGTCGATAGGAACAGTTGCTAGACGACATGAATCTTCCCAGACGGGATAGAGCGGTCGGGTAGGTGCTTTGCTGAAAAACAAACCAAGCACCAGCGCCGCTAATCCCAAGGAAACGTTTCGCAGCTTTTTTTGTGCATCTATGAGTCATCAGCTCTGAATCGCTTGCAGATTGCATAGGATTCAGAAACACATTGGGCATTAAGTTACTTACAAGCTCTGTGATCTTAGCATTAACAGTCACTTCTTCGCCATTAGATAAAGTATGCGTCGTGACCAAGTGGCCTGCAAGACTTTCAAAACAGCTTAGGAAACACAGATGTGTTGTGGCGAGAGGTTACCTCGCAAGCAGGCTCCGCAGGAATTCGAGCCACAAGTTAGGCAAAGCCGGTTTCACATCTAGGTGCGCTGTTGCCTTTCTTTTTAATCGACGTTAGAAACGAGACTTCCTAACTTACTTTTGAACATTCCGTCGTGTGCGAAACAAAAACTTGCTGCAGCGAAACCGAGACTCTCCAGCATCTTCTGCACTTTTTCGTGTCCCTGGAAAAGGTAATAGCAGAACGAACGTAGGCAAAATCGGAATAGCAAATTAACATACGATGTCAGACGTAAAGTGTCCGCAGTTTCAAATCCGGCGAACAAAGACGTGCAAGCATCTTCGCCGATCGATTTTCAACTTCCACACAAAACTGATCCCAGTCAGCGCAGGTATAGTCAACAGCGTACCCATTCCCATTTAAGCCTCCGCCAGTCGGGTGCGCTCGTCAAGTTCAAGTAGTGAGGAGAGTTCACATCTCCAAGCCGGAGCAGAGTTCGATGCCGCCGACTGCGCTTTCCCCCGTGAGCTGGTCCTCCTGCTGCTTGTGCAGGGAAGCTTTCGCTTGCAGTAGAGGTCGAAGGCCCCGCGCTTGCTCCGTCTCCTGTGGTAATTAATGTTTGGCTTTCAGAGTCTTGGCCAGAATCGCCAGAGTCGCCAGAAGCGCCAGTGTGCCAAGGGCCAGCGCTCCAAGAGGCGCGCTGCCCAGAGGATGTCGAAGGCATGTCGTCATCTCCGCAGGTGAGGCATTCCACTTTTTGAAACCCTTGGCGTTGTGTGCCGAATGGAAGAGAAGGGAAGCTCCAAGACTTTCGTTGCCAAGCGCTCTCTCTCAACAGGCCCTCCTGAGGAGCAGTTGATACCCTGGCAAGTTGCACACTAGCAGTTGCACCTCACCAGACATTGAATGCCCCGTTTTGCCTCCGTAAGGGTTTTCGCTTCCTACCTCTTGAGCATCAGGTTTTGGTTGGCCTCTTGGCCAGAAAGGCCAGTTCCAACGCAAGCCTTGTTCTGGTGGGACCACCGCCCTCAATTCGATGCATTCTCCTTCAGCGGAGTCCTAATAAGATCCCAAAGAAGGCAGGATGCGCCAGCCACAAGTGACGCACTAGAAGTTCGCTGAAACTTGCATCTGTGAAGACTGAAGTGCTCACTGTTTTCGCGCTCACCACAGTTGAATCTTTCGAATCTCCTTCCTTCTCTGCAAGCCGCCTGACGCGCCATGAGGAATATTCCTCTATGCGCGCGGCGCACTTCGAAACTACATATACAAGTGCAATTGAAATGACGAGAGCTAGGAAGTATGCCTGCAGGCCACCGGCCCTCCGTCCCCGCAATAGCTTGTCACTTCCGCCCTTATTATCCAGCTTTGGACTGGTATTTAGCTGGAGATCGTCGGAAAAGTCCATTTTTTGGTCCATTGTTGCTTCCTGAGACAGTACAATGAAGGTCTTCGAAGTACGCTGTGGGCCTTCCGAAGTGAGAACATTTGCCCCTATCGTTAAGCAAAAGAAGCTCGTGAATAAATCTTTTCCTGCTGCATATAAACACTTACTGGGCAAGTCGGCACTGGTAACCGTTCTCAAGAAGCTCTGAATGCAGTCACCCCTCAGGGAGATGATGGTGTTGCCAGGGGAGCGCACCGGAGAGCTAAATGAGTCTGTTTTCGCTCCCTTCCACCACTCTAGGCTTGCCTGGGTATTTAAATTAAGACTGGAAGTTCTTTGGGTTTGGATTCTTAGTTTCGGGAAGCCAAGTGCTCATAGTGCAAGGTGTTACAATCTGCCGCCATGTCTCTTTTGTCCCCGAAGCCTCGTGGAAGCTCTTCTTGTCCTCCAGATGCGCACAAAAAGGCTATATTTAGGACGAATAATTGATTAATGCGCATGCTAACTTAAGTTACTTAACTCGAAGGCCATAAACAGAGGCGATTGCCTCTGTATTCTGCACTTTGCGCTGGGCGCAAGCCTCAGAGGCAGAGCGATCTGTTACAACAAAGCAGCATTCCCAAAGTCCACATCTTCGCGATTCAACCGCCGCTCTACAGACAATCCAACTCTACAAATTTTGTTTCTCTTCCGTATCGTTATTCCGCTCGCTGTTGGTTGGCATTTGAACAGCAGTGATAATTTAAGAGCAAGGGGGCGTGAAGTGCTTGTTCTTCAATTAGGCAGCGGCCTTAAAGACGCAAGTTTGCTCTTGAAGGCCTCAAAGTGAAAAACACTATATTGATTATATTTACTCGAGACAATATTTTTGTGGGGGTTTTCAACAGAGAGCCCGATTTGTCCTTTGAATCCTTCGAATATGTCCAGGAGACTCAGGCTATGGTTCTCCTAGCAGCATAGGCAATTTTGGCCCCGCAGCACTGCAGCATAATCACTGCATTGAGATACTTCTTCAAAATAAATTATGCTGGAGATAATAAGGGAAATTTAGATTTTTGTGAGCAAGTAGAGAAGGTCACGCCAGAAAGCACAAACTGCTCTTCTGGGTGGGTGCAGGAGGGTGGGGAATCTTGGGCTTCACAACCACGAATCTTGCGACGTAAGCCTCGTGTCTGCATGCTAAGTGCACACAATTTACAATAATATAGCGAAATATGGATGTTTTGGCTCCTTACTCAAACTGGACACAAAAGGGGATGGCGTGGGGTCGCAGTGACTAACGACGAAGATTGCGTCATCGAGTAGCCCTTGAACTGGATGTATCTCTTTTTTCACCCGCTTAGTTTTGAATTACTTACTTATTCATGGGGAATATCCTTCAAATTCGAAAGCTTGGCTTGGCCTGACCGCAAAGACAACTCCATCAGTTTCTGGCCTCGCAAACGTGCCATGTAGCAAGCTGGAGCGCCGCGATGCGCCTTCTGCTCTAAGATTCATCTAAACAGCATCAAATAGTGATGCAAGAAATAATAGAGCGACGGAAGAGCAACATGGTGGCATGTCTGCCCCCTAGCCCCCTCTCTCGGCAGTCTGCTCAAGCATTGTCGGCTTTGCAAATGCCCATCTTCAGTGGTCGAGTTTCTTTCAATGCCCTATATATAATTCTCCGTGCAACTGCAAAGATTCCTGCCATACATTTTAAAAGCCTTGAAGGAAATGCTGACCTGTGAAAGGGACTCACGAAGCAGTGAAACTCTTGAGGTTTCCGCGGGTATTTGTCGGGGTATCTAGCCTGTATATGAAATATATGTTGATATGTTGTGCTGTTATTGTACTTGCTAATATATTCTGCAGCCATTGTTCCTGTGGTTTTTTCGTCCCAACACTGGCAAGGGTGCATGCAAATGGACTGCAGGCTGCATATTCACTCACTGCTGCCCACAGGGGCTTCGCACGTTCGCAAGCAGTACGAAATCAGTGCTGCCGTTATGCAGTCCCAAAACAAAATGGGAAGCGAAATGCCAGGTGTGTGCATGCGCACCGGGGAGCCAACGCGGGCATTAGATCATGCGGAGTGCATTGAGCATGCCCACTGCTCCCTAGTTCACGCAAGACTTTGTGCATATGCAGTCGGACGTGGACCATTTTCTGCATTTTTCCGCACTGCTTCAAAGCTGAAGCTGTTGGTCTGTTTGCGTCTCTGTCTGGAAGAAGGTAGCTAATGCAGACTTTTGAACAGAACGTGCGTTGCGTTCCGCACGCTACTTTCTCATTAGTTTGAGCCGCCGATATCGCAGAACGCTGAACTGTACAAGTAATCATGTAGTGAATTGGCCGCCCCCTGTAACTTAGTTTTGTCTTTGAAAACTATAGTTATGTCTGTCGGAAGGCTGTTGAAAGAAATCTCGCACAAAATACCTCAGTGTAATTTAAACAATATGGCAAAAGGCCGACAATAGCAAAGCAAGGTATTGACCATAACTGGCTATTTGCAAGGCATGAATTCCTCGCGGATTTCTATTTTCAAGGCGCCGCAAGCGCCTCGAAAGTAGAAATCCTTCACAAATTTGGAAGGGCCTCACAACCATGTGCGACGCTTCTGTTCGCCTTGGCGAACTAAAAACTCCAATAATTATTCGTCTTTTGCTTCTGGTTTCTTGCTGGAGGATGTGGCTGAGAAATCACAATCATTCAAAAGGAGTTTAAACTAGAAATATGCAGTAGTTGTAATGGGTTTCATTTCTTTCTTGAGCTTGAGTTTAACTCGAAAATATGCAGTGCTGTGATTAGCCATGCTCAGAGCAACTCTTTAGATTTCATGCAGAGCTTACCGTAGACTTTGAGCAAAACTGGACCCTTGCAAACTGTACCATCTGGCCTTTGGAGCTCCGTGGAGGCGCTGCTTCTCTTGCTCTCTGCGGCTGCAGGCACGACAAAGCCTCCACACAAAATACGACAGAAGCTCACTGGGCAGTGTTTCAGTGAGACAAAACATATAGCCAACCCGCAGTTTCGCAGAGCTGTCTGTTTCGAATGGACTATCAGGTGCTGCCAAGACATCAAGAAGCCTGCAATTTTCTTTAAAATTTCACGTTGCGCCCACAAGTGCCTTCTTCAACATCCTTAACGGCATTGGCAATCATTTTTTCGAGCGTAGCTTCCACATCGCGTCTAAACTGCACACCCACAGGCAAGATTTGACAACACAGCACCATGATGCGTTACAATCAGCCCAACTTCCGTCCACGCACAGCAGCAGCCGAAAAGTGGCTAAATGTTTGCTTTTCGGACATGTCGGTGGTCAAAATGAGTTAGAGAAAGGAGCATTCTGAGCCGAGTCCACGGGCTGGCCCTCTTCTTGGTCTGTAAACAAAAATGGTAGAGGCGGTCAAATGCGTTTCTCTCCCACATCGGTGCCTTGCCCACTCCTCTGTGCTGCACGCATTGACGTGACCGCTGGGCAGAGGCAACTCGTGAGCAGCGCTAGACGTGAAGCTCGTGAAGGGCAGTAGCAGTCAAACTGCTTACTATCTCTTCTATTTCAACATGAACTTCAATTTCTTCCCCACCATCAGTCGAAACCCATGCCGTGTAATGAGCTGCAAAACATGTTGCAAGCCACTCTTTGGACAATGTTTGTGCAGAACAGCGGGTCGACTTGCAAGCTAATGTTCCAAGACACTTGATCAGAAACGTCTCCAGCCTTGTCTCCAGGGCCACGCTTTTAATTTGAGCCTATTCAACTATCTTACTGTGAATCTTTTTAGTGTGGGGAAAGCAGATAGAACTTGCAGTAGTTCCAGCTTTTTCCATAATATTTCGCAGGCCTCGGTGCCTCTGAAAGAAAAAGTTCGTACAGAGTCTAGAAGTCAGGCATGCGAGACCAACTGTTGTCGTTCCAACCACGCAGCAGCCAACAAGCGGAAGCAACAGCACAAAAGAAAATAGTGACCTGCGAAAATTCACACCGAACAAGGTTACTTCCTGAGAAGGCTCCTGACAACTGCTAGCATCATACCGAACTTACTTTCCCAATTCCAAGCAATGGGTGGCTGAAGGGAAGAGAGAGTTCGTCGTAGTGAGAAGATTCTGGATCTCCAACTCTCATGCCCTTAATAGTTAGTCTGCTCCTTCTGCGCCTTTGTGGGAAAGTTTGCGGCCTCCTGCTGGCATCTTCAGGTTCCTTCGAACTAGACGGCTTCGGCAAAGGAAGAGTTGGCGGCCTTCTGCTGGTATGCTTAGGTTCCTTCGAAGTAGAAGGCTTCGGCTGAGGCGAGCTGTCGTTATTGTCTTCTTGCTTCGGTTCCTCCAAAGTAGACGGCTTCGGCAGAGGCGAGCTTTCGTCATCGTCTTTTTGTCTCTTGTATTTTGGCCCTGGCCTCCCGGGTTGACGTTTCCAAAACTTCCAGCCGAGTCCTTGGCTCCGCTTGCCTTCTTTTGGACGGGCACCTGATGAGCTTCTACTTTCTAGTCCGTCGCACTCCTCACTTCCAGAAGAGCCCTTGGGAAAACGCAGTCAGCACTATGCGCAATGTCTGCATACCAGTCAGCGTAAAGAAAAATATCACTTGCGAGTCTAGATAAGGTGATTTGCGCTTACATCCTCCAAAAGGGGCCTTTGCTGGTCGTTGTCACCTCCAGCAAGAGACCTGACAGACTTTGGTCGATGTGCAGCTAAGTGTACGGCGCATTTCAAGATCAGAAAAGCAATGGTTACAAAAACCACAACCGCGAAGAAACTAGGTCTATAGGAGAGCTCGCCACGAATCATTGCTTTTTGCTTCGAGTCCTGGGCCTCAGCAGCAATTCGAGAGGACCCATCCAGCATCAGACTTGGAATATGTTTAGCATTTCTCGGAATAGCCGATCCTTCTCCCATCTTTACTACCTGAGGAAGCACTGAATAGCTTCTTTAACACGTCAGCACACCCTGCGGGACTGGAAGAGAACCTGTATCGTCGAAACACGGGCAAGGCGCCACGATACCTGCGAAAACACAAACTTAAAAGCGTGGTCTTTCGGTAGAGGTTATATCCCTGAGCGCGTGTCCGCGTTTTTGTTGCATCAATTGAATGCTTGCACTTTCCCTCAAGTCACTACGAGTGAAGCAACTACAGGCGTCCTTGGCGGATGCAAAAAGTTTACACTTGCCTCGCTACTTTACGCAAAAAATTACTGCTTGAATCGTGTGCGGTCAGTTGGGAGGGACCAGCTGTTGACTTTCAGGGCTGGAGAGGCTTTTTTCCTCTGCCGCTCTGGAAGAGATCTCCAAGCAAGCTGCCGCTGGTAAAGGTACTTCAGGCAAAAAAGTCTCTCATTGCAATCCCTAGAATTCAGCCAGTGAACTGAAATAAAATTGTTTCAAGTTTTCTGAACGGGAATCGAAATGGGGCAACGCAATGGCACCACGCGCCGCTCCGCCCGGTAAAATGGAGCAGTCCTTTGCAGTCGGGCACGCGTCGTTCTAAAGCCCTCAAATACTTATTTTCTGTTATGTAAAGTATAAATTCTCAGGATAATAACACTTTTCTTTCGATACGAAAGCTTCGTCACCCCGCTAGTGCAAGTGCAGGCGCTGCCTACTGAGCACAGTGCTCGTGAGATTATGAATGCAACACGAAGTTTCCCGGGAGGCTCACCACTATAGCACGCAGTGCAAACTAAACTGTAGGCCCAGCTTTCACCAAAAATGCTTAAATGTTAGAATCGCATTTTTCGGATTATATACGAATGTGTAAAAGTGAGACACTACGCAGTCTAGGCTCCACTTTTAGAGTACGGTGTATTCGGAGATTCGAAACCGCCGCGGTTAAAGGCCAAGGAGTAATCGTGAAGTCAGCACGCATATGCGCAATACTTGCTGAACATTTGGCAAGGCAGGATTTAACATTTCCTCTACTTCGGCTGGGACTGATGGAAGATAAGAAAGACGAGGGGCTGGAGGACTGGGGAGGGGTCTGGCTGGGCCCAAACTCAAACGTTCAAATTTTCCATTGTCGGGGCTCACGCTAGCTATCCAATGCATTGTTTGGAAATTTTTCCTTCAGGGCAATATTATTTCGAGATAATTGCGATACTGTTCGGATTTGCAAATATTTCTGCCCGTCGCCCAAGCAGGTCGACACATTCCGTGCCGAGTCGATCCCACCCCACATTGTACCTTTAGCCAGGCTGCTCGCATAAAGCGGTCTCTCGCTAATAATGAAATCGATAAAATAATTGTGCGAAATTGCGCAATAGCGCGATAAGAAACGTTGAATCGAGCTTTCTGCTCTGATGCAAGGAAGGTTTCGGCGCCGCGGAGGAATGCAACACACATCCTGTAATGTCTCGCGATATCTGTCGCCTCACTTAGAATTTGTTCCGTAGTGCTTGCCCACTGACGTTTCTAGCTTTGCCAGCAGCAATATTGGAAGGGGCTATGCGAAGTCACACACGCTCTGCCGTCTGTTGCAGTCAGCTGGCCTAGTACCAGTAACGTCGTATTAAGAATGATTTATCACATTATCCTGATCTATTGACGAAATTCTGATGAACTGGCATAAATGCGCTAGCGCTTCGGTGAGCTGCATATCCAGAAGTGCACGGTTCTGGGTACCTTTGGATCGCTGGCCCCTAATAACACCGACAGTCTGGCGAAAGATTGACTGTCATGAAAACTGGAGGTGCGGAGGTCGTACGAAGCCTTCAACAGATACGGAGGTGAATGCCACTACGTCGGAGATTGTTTCACTCTCCCTAGGCCAAGCGAAGGGTACCGCAAAGGGGCAAGCAGCACTGACACGTCCCAATAGAAATGAATGCTGCGGCTTTCTAGCGTGAAGCCTGGAAAATGAGCGAGGCAAGTGTCCTCGGCTCCATAGGTAAGGTGGGCGGGTTGTTTTGTGTCATCGGTACGTGGTCGAATTGCCATCGAAGTGCCCACCAGTTGAAAGCAGGAGCTCTTGGAGGAGGAGCAAGGAACTGTTAAATGTGAAAGAACTAGGGGAGTTCCTAAGCCGTATGCTAAAAGACAGAAGCGGAGCTCAGTAGAGGTGGAGGCAGCTGCCGAGGCCACAATCAGTACGCAGGCCCAGGACGGAGACAGGGAGGGAGAACTGCATGAAAATCTCGAAAGTGGTGAAAAAGAATGAGCATACCTGTAGCTGGATGAGCAACCCTATGCGGTGCTGGCAGATGAGAGCTGAATTGTAGTGTCCAGCATAAGAATGACCGCGGTGCTTGTCGTGGAGATACTTGGTCATGAGTGTGCAGCATTTCTGGACACACGTTTGTCATGTATCATTGGCCCGATTGCAACTGACCGGTTAGAAGTGCAATATGCTATCTAGATATAGTCTCATAACTCACTTTTGCCAATCGGGAGCAGCTACATATCGATCACGTTGTGACGGGGCAGCCTACTTGGTTTGGGGGTAATTGGCTAGCGAGTTCCTTTCTCTTGGAAGCGATGCTTTCCAACTTTGTTCTAGGACTAGGCTGGCCAGCAAACCATACGTTGGCTGGGACTTTTAGCCTGGCCACCTTCAAGCTCAGGTGAAGTGGCAGCTCTGATGGTTGCAAGCCTGCCACAAACTACGCTCTCTTCGGGTGCAGCGGGAAGTGCTGGCTAACAAACACTGTGCTGCAGTCTCTCAGTCCTGTTAGCTGCTTGCACTCGTTCGTGGGTCCTGACATTGCTGTCACTGCCGGTCCATTTGTTAAATTCATACGCAAAGGCAGCCGTTTACACTGCACGCATCTTCATACACAAAGTGTACGACCGCCTTTTTGCAGCACTTAGCTTAATCCACTATACAACCCGACAAGTTCCCGACTCCACGAAACTCTTACAGTGATACGCCGGCACTTCATGCTGTTTACTGTGGGCAGTTTTCACAGTTTTCGAACGAGCATGCATGCTAATCGGCTTTTTTCGGTCAGGTCATGTACCCGGCCCAGCGAATATATTCGATGTACGACCAGGAGCTTCTCGCCTTAGTCACCGCCCTAAACAAGTAGCTTCACTTACTAAGAACTGCTATAGTTTTGATGCATACCTATCATCAGGCCATCACATTTTTACTCACCCCTTCGCGCAGCTTTGCGTGTTGAAGCCTCTACCTGATCCTAGCACTCGCTAGCTTGATTTTCTAGCAATGTCCTAAGACCTCATAATCACACAGTTGCATAACGAGATGGCGGATGCGCTGTCTCGATACCGTGGATGGAGCTGTTGCCGACGCACTCTTTCCATGACGCCTTTCATGCTTTTCAACTTGTGCAGCATCTGCCCTGCGACCCTCACGTGATCACCTAAGAAGCCGTTGTTGGTTGTTTTTCAGTTCCAGATTCCAACAGCTGCTTGACTGATCACTATGAGTTCGACTACATTTTGGTTCAGCTGCGCATAAGCGACGAAATCTGGTGCCCAGTGAAGTGGCGGGGTTTCCCTGAAAACCATGCTCCATGTGTGCCTTCTGAGCATAATACTAACTGACCTTCCTTACTAGAAGCATCAAAGGGCCTCGACCTTCGTTGCTAATGGTCAGATGTCACTGCCTAGGCCCCGCTTTCTGACACTCTCTTCGATAATGCCCCTCTATGCATAGCTTCTTAGCTTTCACCGCTTCCTTTTCCCCCTCATCGTACGCACTACCTTTGTTATTCTCCGTTAAGAAATATTGATGCTTAGTTTTACACTTTGTCCAGCTGCCGCGGGAGAGCCACCGCTGCGCGAAGGGGGGCGAAGATTCTTATCATGAAATTTCAAGCTGACTTGTCCACCCTGTGGGCGCCTTCGTGTACGGGGCTGTCACGCGGGAGCTCCATGATCAAAAGTGAACAGTACAAGCTATACGCCCTTCATATGGGGAAAGAAGCTAACATGAAATGCGGCAATGAAACTGAATTTAAAAGTAGCGTGGAATGCCTTCACCAGACCCACTGGAGCGCTGGAAACTTCTGCCGAAGACCCAAATCAGCTTCAATTCTCATTTCATCTTTTCCCATTTTTGCCTTCCTCCTGTCCGTTTTTCTTCAACCACTTCATTCACTTCTGAACTGGTGCGACTATTGTTGGTAGTAGAATGCATTAGGGCGGGCCACTAGGGTGCTGGACTGGCTGCTGAGTAACGGGAGGATAGCTACCAAAAGTACCCTGATTTTTCGTGGAAATAATCGTATTATGTGACGCGGGCGAAGCCTTCTTTAGAAAAGTAGTCCTTTCTTTCATTACGTAGGAAGCCTGGTAACTTGGTGACTGGCTGCAGATGGAAGTCGCCAAAATACGGTGAGAACAATTGCTCAATACACGAAAACAGCAACGGAGCCTCCACAAAGGAAAGTGAATGTGTATGGAGATAACAGAGATGTGAAGCTTAAGCCATTACTAACCAGCCTCACCGTAAAGCCCACAACGGCCCATTCACTGCATATATGCCGTAAAATAATTACTTACCCAATGATCTGTAATTCAGAGGGTGAGTGAGAACTGCTAGCTCAAAGCATTACAGATCGCACTTCGTACGTGGCTGAGCAAACCGCTAGAGAACCCGAACCTCATGTCTGCGCCTCGATGCACGTCCAACACTCAGGGCCTGCATCCATTTCCGGCTATTAATCGCGACATTACCTTTCTACTTACTATCGCAAAACTTTCACATTTCTACTTCATATTCCTCTAGTTTACTGCATATAGTCTTCCAAGGTGGTAATGGTCACTAGCACTAACGGCCCACGGGAAGGTTGCACCACAGCTTTCTCCCAGGACAGCAAGGCGTAGCGAGCTCACGTGCAGATTGCAGCGAAACTGTTGGAGCCTCTATTTTGACTGATATTCAGCACTAAATATTCATACAAATTATGTGTGTATGTAGTACTGAGAATTTAGAAGGCCACTATGGGTTGCGCACATTTACAAGAGGAAGCTCCATTTGGTCAACAGCATGAATGAACGAGAGAAATTGGAATCCAGGGAACAGCTCAAGTTAAAGGTTATCTTCTTTATATATCCTGATTTGTTAGGCAAGTGGCCGCTATAGGACGCCAAGTCACGTAAAATGTGCCGTAACGCCCTTTTGAAGACAGGCAGGGGCGAATCCTTGTCCTACCATAACCGCTAGCTCCTGATGCAGTGGGCGAGTCACACAGACAATTAAAAAGACTTGGCTTATGCTGAAAATTGCATACTTAGTAAACGCTGCTGAACTCTTAACTCAAGAAGTGGATAGAAATAACACGAAGATTATTCAACAGCACTGCGCTACAATGGACCGATCCGCCCTTTACATATGACGACAGCGTCCCTGGGCTCACTTTGTTTCCCTGCTGTCAGTCATTTCTTGAAGCTGCACTTAGTCACGAATTATGCTGAGTATTTAACTACAATCTACAGGGCTTGCTCTCGTGGCTGGCTGCTGAAGTTTAGCAGCACATGCCGAGCCCCCCGCAGACCACTCGACGGAATCGCCCGGAACTGCTTGAGGTTCTACAGCCCATAGTAGGAACATCCACTTTCGTGACACTGCCTAAGAAATGTCGAAGGGAAGATATATCCGATCCTAGCATCCAGAACGCTTGTTGTTTCCATTTTGCGCTTTTGCTGGATCTGAAGGCTGACTACTTGCGGATAACAGGCATTCATTGATTTCGAAGAACCACTCGAGGTCACTATTTCCATTGGCGCGGGACTACGTGTGAAAATAGCATCACGGAGGCGCGTTGCCGTGTCACGTGCCGTGTTGCTCCTCCCACAACTCAATCAGGCAAGGGAGCCTGCATAGTCTCAGCTAAGAAATATGGTGTCGAAAATGGACTACACTGAGGCTCCAGCTGAGACGAAGAGTTTGGAGCAGGACATGTTTGTTCAAGCTAACTCTACCAAGCTGCCAAACCGAATGCGGAAATTCCGAGTTCGCGGTCCGCTAGCTAGTTGGCCTGCGTTTTTAGCGACCATGTGTTCCTCTGCCATTGTATTTGTGATTTTAAAATGTTCCTTGCGTCTGTCTAAGCATCCATTGAAAGCTTTCAGGATGCTAGGAGATGAAGACATCGGCTGTAAAGACGAAGAAGCCCTCTTGGTGGGTTTACAACACGTTCGAAATATAGCCACCGTAAACTGATGGCCTCGCCGTATTTCGTCTCTTTTCAGGAATTTTCCCTGCAATTGAGCCTGGGTGTGTTTTACTTAGGGTGGAAGCAGAGAATGGGGTTTTTGGGAAACCGTTGCGGGACGCGGTGCCTCGCTGAAGGCAACACGTACAAGACTTGCCGGTGCACTAGGCTTTCGAACTCTCACACGTACATACAGCAGCTTGAAGAATGCAGAATCTTCTGGAACACTCGACCCTCATTCGGCGCCGTCTGCAGATGCTCTTTCTGACGTCCCAGAATATGATCCAAATGCTCCTTTCCTCGCCCCAGGGCAAAAAAGAACCTTCCGTAGCAAGATCCGACTTGGAACCCCGCAATCACCTCACTACGACAATATTGACGAACCGTTTTCGTTCCCATTGCTTGGAAGGCATGAAGTGAGTTTGGAGGGGTGGCTGCTTCGACCTTATGGTCGCAAAGCACCAAATAGGTCGAACGCTCTACACTTAGTTAGGGGCCCTAGACCAAGTTGGTTGATAGAATTACAGCAAATGCCGAAATAGTTCAGTGCTACTCAGAACTTCCTGCTCTGACTCTTTCAGAAGCATCGAAGACTACGAAGTATGCTACATGGACTTGGACAAGCTGCGGACGCTATTTGTAAGGTACACAAGCAGAAGATGGAGGGTAAGAAGGCTGATACACAGTATTTGTCTAAAACAAATAGAGCCGTTGGCACCAACTGATTCCAAAAGTGGGACTTTAAGGTCCAGCTTTTACATCACTTTCACTCAGAGCAAAGACGCTGGACGTCTGCATACAGGTGTAGTTTTAAACACTTTCATGTGGATAATGTGTGGTGCTCCTACAGCTCACTTTAAAGCGATTTGTCCGGTCCCGGGTGGGACCACTGAGGTGCTTCTGCACATTGAGTTTACTGAAATAGTGAGTACCGTGATTTTTTGCAAATTGACACTTTTGGGCACGCATAATGAATCAAGTAGCCTTAATTGTTTCAGATGCAGAAAAACGAGCTCTTGGTGGAGAGGTGCAATGAAGGGTGCGTTTTTTTGCGCACAGGAAAGTGTTCCCAAAAACTCATGGCAGCAGCTCAGAGTAAAGATTCAACGATCAGGCCCATTTGACAGCCGGCATGTGCGCAAGGCAGTCGCCAATTCACCCAGTCGCTCACGCGTGACTGAGCAGCTGAATAACATCTAACCTGACTTCTGTATGTAAGTTTGTTTGTGCTCGTGCAGTTTCGACGTGATGTAGAGGTTCTCTCTCAGGAGTTAATAGTCATGGTTCTTCACCAAGCTGAAAAGTCCGGAAGTGAGTACAATGTTGGAAACCAAGAAGCTAGCGTCTTTCTTAGATGTTTGCAGAAATACGTTTCTGTGCTTTACACAACCTATTATCTTTCTTGCAAGGCTAAGCTTTCCCTAAGCACGATTTCTTGAACTTGAATCCTTTCTGATGCTCTGGCTAGCAAAACTGTTGGTGTTGCAGTGTCAGAAGGGCAAACAAATTACTTCTCTGGAGTGCTCAGAAGACCGGACAGTGTGCCTTGTACGGGACCTGTCTTGCTCAAAATCTACGGTCAGCCCTAATGACAGTGTTTTGGGGCAGTCTAGCGTGCAGGACTCTGCAGTCGTCTGCTAGTGCTGCAGGCACTTCACCTGGGCCTGACTGTAGCCTGGCATTTCAGGCTGCTCACCAGAAGTGTAGGGCTACCCGTTGCATCAGTTGTCGAGGCGCGCAGATTCATTTTTCTTTCCTATGTATTTTGTTTCAGCCACAAATGACTGAAGCTCTTCGTAGGGCCAGGCAGTTTCCGGAGACACCCTTTATTGCCAGCTGCACTGAATGCGTCTGAGAGTGAGGTCAGGCAGGAGGACGTGAAGCTTCACGCTCGTTGGCGTCAAGGAGCTGACAATTCAGCCTGAAGGAGACAAAGGTGTTAACAATCTTCAGTTCGGCAGTTGGAGCTATGCGTATGGTTGAAGTGTAGGTACATCTCTTCCTTGATGTTGCTCTTTCGAGCTTATTGACCAGTAGTCTACAAGTTCAACGTACTTGTGTGTAGAAATCGCGTATCAGACAAAGGCTTGTTTTTGACAACAATCACTGGCAATGTAGAAGGCGAGTAGGACTTTGCAAGTTCTGGCAACATCGAGTGTATTGTAATATTGGCACTGCCTTGCATTCGCAAGGATCTATTAATGTAGCAGGCAACTGAAAGTAACCACATGACTCGCACAACAAATTAGTTTGGCGGCCAACTTTTCAAATAGACCCAGCAGAGCAAGCAGGAAGCGAATCGTTTTCACGATTGCACTGGCGCCCACATGCATCATGCAGAGGCGTATGCTTGCGCGCTTCCGTGAGAATTGAATGAATTTGGTGCACGCATTTGTAGGTGCCTGCGTGTAATTGTGCAAGCTTTTTCGTATTGGCTTACGCCGTAGATGGCAGGAAAAGCTGGGCAATCTTTTGCATGCTTGCGAAACTGGAATGCTTTAGGGAAACTTGAAAGTGTGGTAAGTGGCCGGGTACGCGCTTGGGATTTGTGCTACGAATATTGCGTATTTCCGAAAGAAGCTTTGTATTTGAGGTAGTTTTGCCTTTGCTACTTGCGGAAGGTCCAATATATAGAAAAGTGTAGCGTTTCAGTTTTTAGCGCCTGAGGAAGAGGTTTACTGATTTTTGGTGGTTTCCAAGTTGTGTTGCTCGATGACAGCGTGCACCAAATTAGACTTGAGAGAACCGCCTCTTGAGCTTGCTTCGACAGCCTTGGCTGCGGGCAATACAGGCAGCTATTTGTATGCATCCCGTGTTTCGGCATTTTTGGGGCCTTTTTTGCACTTTATGGCTCTTCCTAATGAACAGAGCATGAGGTCCAGGGTAAGAGACTCTGAAGCTGAAACGTCAAGGAATTCATCTCCTACTATAGCAGAGCAGATGATCGCTGACTGCGATACATAATGGCCTCGAGGCGATGTATCTGACAGATCTGATCGTGCAGAAGCCCAACAATTGCATAATTGGGAAAGAGTGCACTATCAGTTCTGTTTAGTGTGAAGCCCACTAAACTACAAACTAGGATGCACCATGCAGGATACGATTTGAGGGCTCATGGTTGGATGACCTCCAGTGTAGGGAACAACAGTGCTTTGAAGGCAACAACGTCAGCGTGTTGACTTCTTGTGTGAGCCAGTGAGAAACTTAAGACAGCAAGAAACATTTCCTCAACTTCGCCTGGAAAAGGCGCAAAAAGAGGCTTTATCTGCGGAGGCATTTATTGGTCCCCGAACAATAGCATCGACACAGCGGAGGTACTTGAGTATACCGGAGTGTTGGAAACCCCGTGTTCTGCATATAGACGGATTTGCTTGGTGAAAAACATATTTCTGTAATGCTTGAGACAGTTCTTTGTAGACGTCAACCCATAGCCATATTCTTCGCCATTGTCCAGTTTTCTCCCGGCTTCCATCCCACTATTGTTTCCGGTACTTCCGAACAAATCATTGCTTATCCCTCACTTTTGGAAATGTGCAGAGCTCAACCAAGCACTATTTTTTTTGTCAAAAGCGCTGTGGACAAATAACAAGCCCTCAGTCGTAGTTGATGCTCTTGAGCTGGCAGGTTGCCATACTCTGCGAGCGTTGAACCGAAACAATGGTCAGGGCTGAAGCACCATTGATAATACAGCGAAAGATTTACACCAATATAATAGCATTCTTTAGGGGTAGGAAACCGGGATTAGCCGTCTGACCCTTAACATAATTCGCTTGAGCGGGGGTGAAAGCGGGCGTCCATCGGTGTGATCGACTCCCTGGTCTCCTATCCCTGCCCTATGCTTGTGTTAGTTTATAGAGGATTGAAGGCAATAAACGGGCGTCTGGGTCACTTTTTGTGGACAAAATTTGGGCTGCCAGCGATGGTATGCTCGAAAACTCCTTGGAGAGACTGGAGCCGCAGCAAGTTTCACAGCCCACAGTGCAAGCTGGTCGGATAACCATATATTGACGGAGGAAAGCTGAAGCAGGCAGTGAGCAAGTCTGCAGCTGTAAGACGCTGCGGCAGGACATGTTTTCCAGTTGTTGCTTTGTGAGAACTTTCTCGATCCAGTGGTTTATAAGGCGAGAATGCGCAAAAAGCAAACGCTTCTGAAAGCTCGGCGCATGTTGGAAGTTAAGGCCCAAAAATAGTAACTACAGTGAAATCGTTTTACCGCCACTTCCTGAGAAGGCAATGCTTTGCTGAGGTGGCAAGCCTGTTTGTGGGATCGCAGGACGCGGCAATGGGAGCAAAAATAAGGCATTCTATGGCCCAGGAAGCGGAGTTGAATTTGATGCTGGATACGTCCTCCGACGCCAGTCCTGCCGAGCCGTGGGATTCTCCGTGGAAACAGCAAAGTAACCGCCAGATAGTGAAGTGGTCTACAGTTTCACTGACCTTGATCTCTGTTGCCCTTCTCCTCCTCATTTTGAAGTGCTCCACTTGGCTACGAGCAAATTCATCAAGAAGCTTTAGAATCCTTGCGGAAGGAGGGGAAGGCGAAGGCGACGAAACTTCGCCTCTTCTTGAAGGTGTAGGGCGAGTTTAGATTTTGCTTAAGACGTAAACAAGGCAGCCGTCGATCCCTTTTAGTTTTCTCAAGTGTTGCCTATCAACATGTTCCGGTGGCATGTAGGGTCCCGATATATCTGGAGAGTGCGGGAGCGGCGAAGCTGGTGCCTCTCCTACTCGGCGAGAGCGAAGGCGTTCAAGAAGGCGGAGTTATTTGTTTCGAATAGGAACAACTTCACAGCCAGCTCGAGCTGAAACGACTGATGAAGCGGGCTCCAGTTCCAGTACATCTCAGCTACAGTCAGGATGGACTGAACACAAGAGTAGTATTACTATCGGGGATCTGTCCGCGCCTCATTACCGTGGTTTGGAACGTCCCTACTACTTCTCACATCTCAGAGAATCACCAGTAAGTTGAGTGCAACACCTTGTTTGCGTTTCTCTCAGCTTCCTGAACAAATCATTGTATGCAACATCTTTCCTTACATGCAAGTTACGTAGTTTCAAGTTCATTTCTGTTTTCATGCGACGTAAGTAGCAGCATTTGAACTGCTATCCAGCTTTTGCTCTATTTTTCATTTAGGAACAAAAACGCTTACGGCATACATTAAGGAGGCTTGGTCAATTTGCGGAAGGGCTCTGCTCCACCCATTCCTCACCGCGTGACTGTAAGGCATTAGACACCTACATATGCCTCTGAAATTGATAAACGGTCGCACCAGAGCATACGAATGCTTGTATGATGAGCTTCTCATCGTGGTTGACAGAGTCTTGGCCAAATAATGTGCAACTTCGTGCCTGCTCTTTCATACTTTCGTGCATGTACTTGTTTGAGCATCCTGCAGGGGAATTCAGTGCACGTTGCCCAAAGCTTGGTGGTACTGGCGACATGAAAGTAGTTGTTGAAGTTCAGGAGATTGTAAGCCGCTCAATATTCATTCTGTCCACTAAATAGCTTCTCCCAGAATTGCCAGGAAAAGATAACATGGAGGCATATGAGGGGACTGCTGCCGTTTGAGCAGTTTGCAAGTGCGTGTGCATATGCGCGTGTCTGCACTCAGGATATTCACAATAGGAGTGCTTTTTCGCAGCTCAAGTCCCTTTTATCGAAAACCGGTTATACCCGTCACCATGTCGGGCAAGCATCCCCTTATCCCCTTGAAATTGTTGTGCCGGGAGAGTATCCGGGTTGACTCATATTACACATGGTGTTGGCCTGCTAAGCCTTGTTTGCGAATGTGCAGTTTGGGCGCGATGTACAAGTTGTAGCTGAAGAAATGATCGTTGTGGTTTTCAATGAAGTGGCCACGGCAGGCAGTAGGCGCCAAGTAGCCTTTTGGCGAAAGCTCGCTACGCTCAAGTTGGCATTCTTTCTAGAGTTGAAACTTACAAGGTTGATGCTTCATGGGAACCAGACCTACGCGGATGTCACTGCTTGCGCATCTGTTGTTTACCCATGTGTGTGCAGTTCCGCCGGGGGGAACAACCCCTTTGGCGATCGTCCTTGAGAAGCCACATGACGTGCCCTGCACAGGCCGTGTCGTGATTAAGGTCCACGGTAAGCTCCGCCTGAACAGCTCGCCTGCACAGCCTTCAACTCGAAATGCCCTCGCCTGCCGTTTATTGTTAACTTAGGTGCACCCGGCAACACGGGGCATCGACTTAACCTTTGGCGTTCCTGAAGGCGTTCTCTGTTGCACTTAGTCTATTTGCAGGAAATCCAGGCGCAGCAGTACTTCTGTTTGCTTTTGCTCAGCCGAAGACTTAGAAAGCTCTTCTTGAAAATGAGATGAGTAGTAATATTGGCAGAAGCATGCCGGAGTCATCTGCGGCCTTTTTTATTGTATGTCGAGCTCAGTGCGCTGAGGCTCGCAGGGCCTAGCATATCATGCTAAAGGCTTCAAAAAACTTGGATTTCTCAATGCGAGAAATTTGATGGCTGCAATAGACGGCTATTCCAGCGATATAAAGGCAGATGCTGTTCGTTGTCGTCAGCTTATCTGCTGCGGTGACGAGCTGTTCCGTACACCTCGGTCTTGAACTTTTATGACGGTAGCCTGAATACTATCTGTTAAAACTGATTTGTCCTGGGCTTTTCACGCAATGCCTCCTCACGCCTTATCACAGCTCAGTGTTTACTACCATCGACAGATTCATACAGGGTCGCGTTATTGCTCAAATGATAACACACTTTGAGCATTTGAATGCATAGTGAGCCAAATCGCAGTAGCGCCAAGTTTCACTAAAGAATATCTTCTGACGAGAAATCGCTTACTATTGTTCTTACAGGTAGGACCAGAATTATCTTAATCACTCGTTCCTGTGCCGATATCTCGCAAAGTGGATGCATGAGGTACTGCGTGAGGAAAGGATGCTCTGCTCATATATCGTGCACTGCCCGCGTTCGTGCATGCAAGTGGGTGTGCACACACGCGCATATATGCCCTCTTAAGATTGTGTAGTTGGGTACAGCACATGCTGATGAGCCGCGAGATGCGTAAATATATCACAGGCCTTGCCACTGGCCCTTTTGCCCTTTCGCTGTTATGCGCCCTTATCCGCCTGCTACGCGAAATTTAATAAGCGGCGAAACGAGCCCTACTCAAGCCCTGCGGGCTAGGCGGTGCGCGTGCACTATTCAAG